GAACTTTTTAAGAATTTCATATATCCATCCTTTATAGTTGTTAACTGCCAGGGTTACTCAATTATCAATATTGCATTCAAATACAGTGAAATGTGTTCAAATGTAACTTGTTGTTATTATTATGAATCAAGTGCTAAAACTCTTTCCTAAACCTAATTGATGTGCTATTCAATAAGTGTTAAATGGCTTTTTTATTAGTATTTCACATACCTAAAACAATTCATGAAGGGCTTATCGTTAAAGATCTACTGTTGTCCTGTGTATGTTAAATGCGATCTTATTGATATCTTCTTTGTACCGAAGGTTTAAAAAGTGGAAATAGGTCACATTTGACATGTCAATAACACTTTTACTAAGTAATCAAATAAATGTACCAATGGCCATCTACTTAATTTATATTTTAACAAAGTATCAGATTGATGTTATGTACAGAAGTGATCAAAAGACGGAATAATTCACATTTGGCATGTAAAACGTGAACTAAGACCACGTGAAAAAAGCATTATGTCCATCTACAAAAGAACCACATTATGAACCTATAACCATTTCCTCTTCTATCCCATTGTTTACTTTCTTTCTATCAGTTATCAAGTTAGCTGTAACACTCATGTCAACTTTACTTATTCAACATTAAAGCAACACGCCTCCAGATTCATGCTAACTTTCATGAAAATTTTGAAAATGTGTTTAAAAGTAGTATTTAGTGAAATAACCAAAAGGAAGCAATTTGCAAATTATCAATGGCACTTACAGCCCACGTAAATTATGAAAAAGATGACAAAATATGCAAAAATTGCTCTTACTGCGTTAGTAACGCAGTAGAAATTTAATCATAAATACTGAATAATCAGTCATTAATCGCACATAACATGTAAATTATTACTTGAATCTTCTTGAATCTTGAATATTTTTACTTTTCCTAAAATCTTAGTACATTTTTCTCAAATTTGTTTTTATTGAAATATTTTCGCTCATCTGGAGGCATACAGCTTTAAAGAATGCTTAAAATTCACAATTCAACAAAGAAGTAAAGTGTATTTTATTCGTTTCTCTCACATGGGATTGATAAACATGGCAACATCATAAAACATACAACCATGCAAAACAGAAACAACAGGTATGACTATACAAATAGCTCACAATTTCTAAGCATAATGCATTTGATCACAGATTCAGGTATATAATTCTAAAACCGTTATATTTTATATGTAATACTATGTATCGAAATGAAACGTTTTGAAACTTTGGATGCAACAATTTGGTTCAGCTCTCTTAAACATAAGTTCATTGGTTAATTAAACACTTTTCGAACATAGATAAACGCGTTCACAAACTAATTAAGTTTCATTTAGTTTCTTCGCAAAATTTTATATCCTCTCTCTTCACACGATTGCCGAGCTAAGAGTATTAAAGAAAATGCTTGGCATTTATTAAAAGAAATCATCAGAATACATACTAAAAAATACTAAGAGGATATTTTTTCGTTTGCGTGAAATATGGAATATATTTTCACGAAACATGATAAAATGCCACATATTTTCACGAGCCGGTACGGCGAGTGAAAATATGTGGCATTTTATCATGTTGAGTGAAAATATATACCATATTTCACGAAAAACGAAAAAATAACCTTTTTATTTAATTTCATTATCAAAGAAAATGGTAACGAATGCCCTTGCTTGCTACCAACTGCAATTGTACGGCGCGCAGTAATTTATGCGTAAGCACGCGCTGTTTGGCGCTACATTGTGACGTCATGTAAACAACTCTTTAAACGTCTGTACAGCGTTAATTACTGAATTAAAGATATTGGTGTTCGGATTAATTTTCTTAGTTAGACCATTTTCTATCATGCTAGATAGTTTTCAAAAACAATATTCAAGAAAAAGTTGTTTTGTATTCATCAGATTTTTCAAACAAAACGGCGAAAGAAGTCCCTTAAAATAAATATGAGTTTTGACTCCGCCCTCTTTCATATTTATATTTCATATTTATTTTAAAAAAATATGAAATATATTTGACTGATATAGCACCATATTTCATGGGTAAAATTAAATAAAAACGTATCTTTATAACTTCCCAGCGACAAAGGGGTAGCTTGGCCCTATATGTAATTTAACAGTGCTCGTGTTTAACCAGTCATTGAGTCCTTGGTAGTAATAGATCAGCCAAGCTCCAAATCTTCTGCCTGTGTTCTGTGCCTTCTCTGCGACGTGCACGCACCGAGGTGAAGAGATAAGTCAATAGCCTCCATTATACTGAAAGGTTCTTGAAGATTTCCCAAAAACACACGGATATTAGCACGTGATAGCACGGCTTCCGTAAAACGTGAGAATATTGACCAATCGATAACTATTTTCTTTTAATAACCTGCAAAATTTTAAACAAAAATGTGCCCATTTAAACTAATCAAAGGCCATAACTCCGTGTTAAAGGATCTGACCGTTTTTCTTTTTTCTAATTTTGTAGTTAATAAGAATTAATTAACCTGCTTATTAAAGGGACACCACTGACGGTTTTTTTAAATGGCGGGACTGGAAATAATTTTTTGGAGATTAATGTTTCATTTAAGACCAGGCGCAATGAAGACGACAAACCAAGAACTTAAAAAGTTGTGATCAAAGTTAAAAGTTTTCGGACGGCAACGGCAATGGCGACATAACTGTAACAATACCTCTATTTTCAAACAAAAATTGAACTTAAAATGGAAGCTGAAAGCGTCAATTCATGAAATTATTGTCTTAGAGAATGGAACATTAAAAGTATATAACGATAAAAATTTGATCTATCAAAAGCAAATCATGGAAATCGATAAAGAAGATAACAAATTACTTGAAAATACTAAAATATCATTCAGAATGAGGTTAGAGATATATAAATTTTAGTATGTGGATATTTTAACTCCCCTATCATGATGATTTCTTATAATTATATCAAGAATGAACTTGTATTAGAAGTATATAAATTTAGATTTTTTAACTTGGTCCCATATCAAGGTGATTGCTTGAGAAGTCTTGGAAATATGGGATAGTGTTTTATGTTTTAGTGTGATAATTATATAGTATCTCTAGTGAATCAAATATTTGATTGGTTTCATATACGAGGGCTGTTAGAAAAGTATCCGGAAAGGTTTTATATGTATGCAACTGTCATATATTGCATTGTACATTGATTGAATGATTGAATTATACATTATCATTATTGAAACTCTAATAAATTAATAAATAAATAGTAGTTCAAATCAGTGTACCAAAAGGCTATACCTTGACAAATAATCCAGAAAATGGCCAAGTGGTTTAGAAGCTAGTGTCCTTATATTTATTTCTTTCAAATTTGGAAATAAATGAAGGATATATTTTCCTCTTCTTAAAGAGCCTCTTTCAGACAGAGACTAAATCGGTTGATATTTAATCTGTTAATTTTCCCTTGAAATACCAACTTTATCAAGCATTCAAAAAAATAGAGAAGGGAACAAAATTAAAAGAAAGACGCAAAATTTTTCTTTTATTTTTTATTCACAATTATGTATAATTCATCTTTCCATAATCTATACAGAAATTGATTTTTTTACAATTGTGTCATAGGAAAAACGTTATTTCCACCAGATTCAGCTGGCCTTTAATAAACCAGAGACAGACTGTGAAGACATGGCTATCTACGTCATTCAATATTCAATTTCATCAATTAATTATTTGTAATTTTAAAGTATACATAAATAATTCATACTCTCTTGAAAGATTGCACTATATCAAAGGTTGCCAGTAAATTAAACAAATGTACATATATAGAGTAAATGCCTAGCAAAGGAAGACGCTATTTCCATGTAACAACTTTTTTGTTTTGTTATTTTTTTATTGTCAAAGTATCTCTGACAATTTAGCACATAAACATGTTAAAACATTTCTTTGTATTTCTCAAAATCATATCTGCTTAATGTATTGCACACAAACGTTTCATGAAAACATATGAATAAAGGTTTATAAATTCCTGAATTATAAACAATGTGTCTATAACAGATGAAATGCAATGGGTACTTCATATACCATGTAACCATCAATCACTGTTTGGTAATCTTAAAATTTAAGAAAAATATATAACAACCTAACACATCGTATTGGTTGATTTGAGCATATCAGTTTGTATATTTTTTTAAATAACAACATAAGTTAGTTTTGCTTTTTTTTTGTGTTTTTTTGGTGTTGTTTTAATTTCATTTACAATTAGTCATTCTCTATAATATAATCTAGAAATGTTTTCATATTCTTTTTTTTCTTTTAATCAATAAATTCAAATTCTCAGAATTCACTTATCAAATAAACATATAAAATAATGACGAAAATCTCTCAAAAAAGAATACATTAACTTTTATCCCAAAGTTATATAAGTGCCCACAAATTAAGCTGTTCTAAAACTAATCACTTTAGTTTCATATTAACCAACAAAAACATATAAATAAACACCCTCTATGGCCTCTTATCATATAAACAAATTTTTATTTCATAATATTTCATCAGAAAATTTAACACTTCTCCTTTAGCACTTTTTTTAATGAAATCGTAATGTTTTGAAAAGATGTCATACATCCATGATTTGTTGTTGTTTGCGGCAAGGACAACTTAACAATACCATGTCCAAATGCTGCTATAATTATTATTAATCAAGTGCTAAATCTCTTTCTTGAACTTTCACTGGATGTGCAACTCAACAAAATGCTAAATGTCATTTTTATTAGTATCTCATCTAACTAAAATACTTCATGAAATATAAATATACAAGTTAAACCTAGTTCAAAATGGCCTTCAGTCCAGGGCAAGAAGAATGAGGTCTTATTTACATTTTAACAAAGTATAACACTAGTGTTATGTACAGAAGTTTCAGACAGAAAATATAATTCACAATAGGCATTAAAATAACACTAAGACCATATACAAAGTAGCACTGTGACCATCTACAAAATGTAAACTTATAAACCTATTACAAGCTCTTTTTCTATAGCATTAGCAATCTCTTTCTCTTTATCATCAATTGAAACACTACACTCAAGTCTTCACTCATGATACCAACTTTAGTCATAGCATGTGAGCAACTGTCATTATAGAATGCTTAAACATCACATTAATCGTTTAACAAAGTTGTAATTTTATGAGAGCATTTCATCAATTTCTCTCATTAGTTCATCAGTATCCTTGCCACCACCATCCAGTTCGAGATCTATGTCGTCATCATCATCCATGTTGAGTAAATCGTCTTCAAAGTCCATAAAACTCTCCGATATGCTTTTCTTCTCTTCTCTCCCTTTTCTACTGTGAAAGAAAACAAGGAAACATGAGTAGAAGAAGAGATTTTTCAAACAATAGAATATAATGTTAATAACAGCAGACTTATTTCTTCTCTAATCCATGTCAAAATACATTGTTCTCTTATGTAAGCCTGTTTTTGCATAACAGAACATTCATTTCCATCAAACTTGATGATTTGTAAATCTGAAATCCTTCATGGTTTGTCAACTTAGTGCAAGAACTGGTAAACTCCTTTTTAAGTTAGAAGGACTTAACCTGTTACTGCACTAAGGTGACAATATATGATATATCTAAACCACTTAAAACCATGTGACTACGAGTCTGTGTTTGCATTTTTCCTATAAAAAAAATCAACAGTAATCAATGCTAATCAGAGCATAATTACAATGTAAGTAGCGAGCATTTGTGCTTATAATTAAGTGAAAAACATTCCTGTGAAGTGGCCGCTTTCAAGTTAAAAATAGAATGAACATCAGGAGTGAATAAAGACACACTTTATTCAAGTATAAAGGAGGCAGTAAACCAAATGATCATTCTGAAATTTTGTTACTTACTACATGACAGAAATTAAGTTAACATGAAAATATCAAGATAAAACCACTGCTTAACAGACTGCATTAGTGTGACTGTGAACAAAAATAGTCAATGACTCCTCAAAAAACATGTACATAGCCTATCACATGCAAATCATTAAACCATCAACACTCAAGAGCTTCCTTGACTTAGCCCCTAAGCTGCTAAAAACTTATAGTGATTAGCCCTTGCCACCAGTATAGAGCCAGGCCAGTCTGTACATCCAAAACTGATAACGGATTTTTCCAAAAATGGATGCTGGACAAGTCCATTTCAGAAATTCAAAAAGTTCAGGGTTAAAACAGCCTTACCTTTCATGAAAAGTAATAGATGACTCTGTTTTCACAGGTGATACAGATGTTAGTGAGGTAAACTCTTCGTCAAACCCAGATTCATCCACCTTTTCACTTTTATCCACTACAAAAATATCTGACTCACTTGATTGTTTACTATCTTTTGTGATATTAAATTTATTTTCCTGAGTTTCTGTAACACTTTTTTCCTGTGCAGGAGCTTCTGGAATGCTCGTTTTGCGTTTTTTCCAGCGAGATTTTGTTTCCGTTTTTTCTGTATTTGAAGCACTTGGTGGTTGAGACAATGTTTTTACTGGACTAGAGACGTTAGAAATGCTGGATGATATTGTGGATTGCGATGGTGTAGGTGATAGCCTGTCATCTGCTGATATACTTCCTTGTGACGATTCTGTAACATATTTAAACATTGTATAAACACTGAATAGAAGATAAGGAGGCTGCTTAATATATTTTACAGAAATTCAATAAAATATACACAACTGTGTATGAATATTGATTATATTGAGTAGGTTTGATTTGTTTGTTTGTAAAAAAATTTAGGTCATACAGCGCCGAAACAGGAAAGATGATTTTGCTAACCTCGGTTATAACAAAAGTAAAGCCACACAAGGGGTAAAAACTATCCCACCTGTGAGCTAAGAGATGCACTGTCTCCAGTTATTCGAACCCATTTAGTTGTCACTTACAATCACACAGGGATAAACAGATTTGTAACAAAAGTAACAAATGATATACAGAAATAGGTCTAAATTCTTTGAGAATCTTATAATCCATACATTAAGTTTTAAATTTAAACATAGTAAGTGTATAAATCCTGATTGTAATGAAAGCTTTAAGATTATTTTAAATCATTTTCAAGTCCACTTCCTGGAACTAACCAGCATTGGTGTCACACGAGGAATTATGGTCATAATTTAAGTTAGGCTACCTGATTTGAAAGACATACACCTTAACCACTTGGCCACCTCCCTTGTCTATTTTTGGGGTTAGGTGATTTTAATAAAAGATGTAGAAACTATGATAGGAAATGTTATATTATGAATCTTATATTTCATTGATAATTCCAGATTAATTTTAGATATATCGTATAATGTATCCATTTTATCAAATCTAAGTTATTTCAACACATCAAATGAAATGGATATATATGTTTTTTCATGTTACACTTTAGAAATATAATAATATTCCTACCTTTATCATCAAATGATATTGGTGTATATGGTTTTTCTTGTTGGGCTAACATTCGTTTCCTCTTCTTCTCCGCCATGATTTCTGCAAATGTCTTTACAGTGGCGTCTTTTACTTCCACCTGCAAACATTACATAAAAATGATATATTCCTGTAAAATCTCTACTTTAACTTTTCAATTTCTTTACTGTATAACTTTTCCTTTTGATCTATACATAACTTGATAAGATAGATGAGAATTCAAGCACTGTTGTTAATAAAATGACGAATGAGGTCATAAGCCCTACATCAGTAACTGGAGGACAATAAGTACAGGTGTTAATGTGACAGCTAATTATAACAAAGTCCTGTTGCTTTTCAAAGTAAAAGGACCTTCTGTTCTCCTGCCACCAACCTCCAGGTGGGGCTTTTATTAAACAAGAGGGCCATGATGGCCCTGAGGTCGCTCACCTGTATATAGGCCCCCAGAGCGGGGCCAGTTTAAACCCCAGGGCTTTTATTTGAACATACTTGGAAGACACCCATTAGAAGATGTTTCAGGATGTTAATAAGTTTTTACTACACACATATAATGAAAAACAATGATCTCCCCCTTTTCCCCCCCCCCCCCGGCAGGTCCAATTTTAACCCAAGGGCTTTTATTTTAACAAACTTGGTAGACACCCATAAGAAGATGTTTCATGCTAAACATCTAAGCTCTACCTTATTGGGTTTTTTAAAAGAAGATTTTATAAGTTTTTTCTATACACATATAGTTAAAAACAATGACACCCCTGGGGCGGGGCCAGTTTTGACCCTAGAGCTTTTATTTGAACAAACTTTGTAAACACTTACTAGAAGATGTTTCATGCTTAATATCTAAACTCTAGCTATTTGGGTTTTTTCAAAGAAGATTTTTAAGTTTTTGCTATACACATATAAGGAAAATCAATGACCCCGGGGCAGGGCCAATTTTGACCCCAGGGCTTTTATTTGAACAAACTTTGTAGACACTCACTAGAAGATGTTTCATGCTTAATATCTAAACTCTAGCTATTTGGGTTTTTTCAAAGAAGATTTTTTAAGTTTTTTGCTATATACATATAAGAAAAATCAATGACCCCGGGGCAGGGCCAATTTTGACCCAAGGGCTTTTATTTGAACAAACTTGGTAGACACCCATTACAACATGTTTCATGCTACATATCTAAGCTCTAGCTCTTTGATTTCTTTTAAAGATGATTTTTTAAGTTTTTACTATATGCATATAGGGAAAATCAATGACTCCCTGGGGCGGGGCCAATTTTGACCCCAGGGCTTTTATTTGAACAAACTTAGTAGACACTCATTGGAAGATGTTTCATGCTAAATATCTTAGCTCTAGCTCTTTGGGTTCTTTAAAAGAGGACTTTTTTTAAGTTTTTACTATATGCATATAGGGAAAATCAATGACCCCCTGGGGCGGGGCCAATTTTGATCCCAGGGCTTTTATTTGAACAAACTTGGTAGACACTCACTAGAGGATGTTTCATGCCAAATATCTAAGCTCTAGCTCTTAGGGTTTTTTAAAAGAAGATATTTAAAGTTTTTTCTTTCGGTTGCCATGGCAACCAGAGTTCTGCATGGAAATTCTTTGAACAATTTTCAAAGGTGACCACCAAAGGAACATTCCTGTGAAGTTTGGATGAAATTGGCTTAGTGGTTTATGAGGAGATGTCATTTAAAGTAAAAGTTTACGGACGGACGCCGGACGAAAAGCAATCACAAAAGCTCACCCTGTCACTTTGTGACAGGTGAGCTAAAAATACAGTAGATTTAGGTCTAAATATTCTAACACCTAACTCTTCTTCAAAACAGTTTTAATATAACTTTATAAATGCATAAAATAATATATTTTATAAACTTTAAACATAAAAATCTGGAAACAAAGTGATCCCTCGGAAGTATTAATCACAACAAAATTACCAGAGAATTGCAGACTCGGTTTGATTGAGTCTGTACATGAGGGTTAATGAATATGTGCAACATCCCTCACGCCCCCCTAGCACCGGCTTGAGCGGTACTCAATTCTCAACACTTAATAGTGCTGGTATCAATGATCCCGAAGGACAAGAAAAATATAACAACACTAGTTGCAACATAAAGTTACCTTAGGTGGTCCCCTGTTTAGCTGTAACCGAGGTCTTATTACACTCTCTGAGGCAGATTTTGTCAGCCTGACTGTACTCTTCTTCTCTTCAACAGCTGGTGTGGATTTCTTACTGAACATGTCTTCATACTGAATTATCTCACGACCTTTTGGAGGTCCTACCTTTTTTATAGTCACTGGTTCTTCTGGAACTATAAATAATCACCAATTATCTTAGGACTTTTATCACAGTTGCTAAGCTTTAATCAGTTAAAAAAGCAGTTTAAAAATATGATATCATTATGTTATTCTATTTGATTACAGGAAAAATATACATAAGGAAATGAGTAGATTTCATTGGATACATACAGTAGTAAACATTGCTAAATTATGATAATACAAAATAATGCTTTTTGCATATATATATTTTCATAAATCAAGTTAGTACAAGCCCTTTTCAACCTGAATGAGAATAGTAACATAAAGAAATCACATATACATGTATCTGAGTTTTGATTTCAACATCATTGCTGTAAAACTTCAATCAATTAAAAATCATTTCTAGCACTGTACCAAATTTGATTTGTGGAGAACAATTTTTCCCAGTTTTGCTCTGAATGGCAATGTATACATATATAGTAGGTATAAAGTTTTATTGAGACATTGATAGATACTAGAATTATAGTCCAGTAATTTTTCTCCTCATACAACAAAGGCCTATAAATTCTTCTTTGATTATAAAAGGCCACTTCCCAAATAAAACGTCTTTTAAGCCATGCAATTTTCCCAAACATCTAAACTCATACCACCTTTTTACTTCCCAAATAAACGATTTTAAGGGGAAAAAAATCCCCAAATCAACAGACTAAGTCCTTTTCCCAATTAAATGAGAAAAACTACTGAGTACAAATCCATCTTCATACAATTTAAATTATATGTATATTAACAAATATCTAACCTGTTCTTTTAGCTGTAGGAGGTATATATATTTGTCTTTCTCTTTTAAATCCTCTACCAGTTGCCCTTACCCTTCAACTGGTTGGGATTTTTTTTTTCCCCAACCCTTCCCTTCCCCCCCTTTCCCCCCCCCAAAAAATTACTTTTTATAATTTTTTACTTTTTTGGTGGGCAGATTCTATCCCAGGGAATGTGATATGAAAAGGGGCGATCAACAGTTTTAAAGGAGGTTTGTTTCCTTTTTCTGTAAAAAAATACAGTTCTGTAATCATTCTATTTGATATAATTTTAAAAAAAACCCCCGTTCTAAAAATCAGAGAAACTATTTAATCCCAAATGATAAACATATCTTTTTTCCCATTTTTAAAAACCCCAATTTTGAACAAATAATTGTTTTTTGCAAACCAGTTTTTTAAAACCACAACCCACGGGAAAAGGTTTTTCTGAAAACCCCTTAAAGCACACCCTCCAGATGGGGCCAAAATATTTGAAAAAAAACCCAAACCGGGGAAAATATTTATAAACTGAAACCCAAAAAGAAAAAAATTTTTAAAGTAAAAATTTATTTTTTAAAGTGTAAATTAAGGGAACTGTTTTTTGCAAGATTAATACATGTTATTGGAAACTTTGTCAAAATAAAGCTCTATATATTTATCATTTCTTACCGACAACAATTTTCCTTTTGTTCTGTCCCTGGGCAATCTTTATTTTAGTGTCCCCTGAAAAAGAAACAGCAACAACTTAAAAGCTTCATATATAAAATTTTACCAGCACCATTATGTAAACAACACTGCTAAAAGTCATTGCCTAAAAGTAGGCAAAACTGTTATCAAGATTCATTAGAATAAGGCAAAATATAACTTAATGAACAATATACTGGTACCACATTTCTACAAACAATTCAACCTGAGTAGAATCTATATCTTCTGTTATCCTAAATTACTTTAAAATCTGACTACCATATGATATCAAAAGATTCTGAAACTTTTCTAAATAGAATATTAAAGGCATTAAGCAATATATTAGAAAAAGATAAGCCTCTAATAAACTCTAGCCCTGCTGAAACCTAAAGTGACTAGTCATTGACACTAGTACAGACTAGCCAACCTACATGTTCGTGCAGTCGGACCAGGCTCACCAATTTAAAATTTTCATCTTGATATCAACCAAATTGGTAGTGGACAGATCCAACAATAGAAGTTAGACAAACTCATTTATGAACATTCAGCATGTTAAAGCTGCATGCCTCCAGATGAGCCAAAACATATAAAGAAAATAAACTTTTACAAATATGAACTAAGACTTAATTAAAGTAAAACAATTCACAATTCAAGTAATGATTTACATGAATGAGTGATTTTTAGGTATTTATCACTATATTTCTACTGTATGAGTCTCTCGCAGTAAGGGTTTTTTGTTGTTGTTGTTTTTGTTTTTTTTTTTTTTTTTTTTGGGGGGGGGGGGGATATTTGGACCTTATTTGGTAATTTAAGTGCTGTTTGCAATGTATACTTTATTTGTTCACTTAACAAAAAAGTATTTTTGCTATTACATTTTCAGAACTTTCATAACGATAAGCATAAATCTGGAGCCATTATCATAGAACAAATACAAAACCAGGTTGGGATTTTTTAATGCTCGTTTTCTTTCCCCTGATATCATCTAAAGACTTGGGTTCAAGAGAGCTCGCGCAGCTTTCAACTCCTTTTCATCTTTTTCTCTTTGGATGTTCCTCTTTGCCTCTTTACAATTCTTTTGCTCTTTTTCAACTTCTAAAATAATTCTTTTATTGGGTGGTAACTTCAAAATTGCTTGCTTGTTTTGTTGGATTTTAAGTCATACTGACATGATAAAGGTCATACTTCACTGGTGGAGAAAAACTCACTTGTGAATTATTTCAGGGACAAACAGGCACTCAAGTTAGCTGGATAGGTTGCTAGCATGAAAGACTACAAGGTCGCTGACAGGATTCAAACTTTCAGCAGTGAGGGGCAAGTGATTTTAAAGACATCAATCTATAACACTCGGTCACAGAGGACCCCAAAATATTCAGCAAATGTTCTTGATTAGAATCCTTTTATACTGGGTTTGGTTTTAAGTTATACCAAAACAGTTAAGATGGGCTCTCCAGCTTTAACTAGTGGTGGAACAATTCAGATGCCTGTCCATGCTGGCTTGAGCAAGCACACAATTAGAATTAACAACCTATTCTCACCTAGCAATACAGCTATCAAATGAAAGAATCTTATGTCCATGGCAGGATTCATTTCACACCCACAATGATGAGGAAAACCCACAGTGAGGAGTGACAAGCAATCTTAACCACTCTACTACATACATCCCCTGTTCATAAGCAAGTTCTTTATACATTAAATCATGAATGGTTTTATACAGAGGAATTATAATTTTAAGTAATTTCAGCTTATTTAATACATCTATTTTTAGTACTATATTATACCAATGAATGAATGAATATTGAAGTCTCTTACCTTCAGTATGTATTATCTCTGTCTCTTCTTCTTCTTCAAGTTGTATTTCATCCTCTGACTGAAGATCTTCTAAATCTACATCTTCCCCTGCATCGTCATCTGCTATTGTTTTAAATATTACCATAATTAAGAGCAGGTGGTTTAATAATAGTAAATTTATACATAACAGCATCTTTCACTACTTATCATTCCATATAGACTGCTATTAAACTAGAAAACTGTTTGTTTGGAAAAAGATGCATAACTTTTCAAATACAATTAAAACTATAATCAGTGTCAAAATAAACAATTTTTTCATAAATACAACATAAATGGTATCGCTAATTCTAACAGATTAAATACCCTAACATAAACAGTTTACGCTGAATCTATTTTAGTTTGTGTAGGAAGCTGTAAGCTTATAGTCACATTATATTTCTCAATACTGGAATAAACGAGTACTGAGCAAGGAATACAGTTTCTTGCTTAAGGAAACGATGGCTTACCCCTGAATGAGTCTGAACCCACGCTATATCAAAATACTAGAAACTGACCTTTTTCACTTTGTACATTAATCTTCCTCTTGGATTCCCTCTCATCATCCAGATCTTTGTACTCTCTCTTCTTCTTTAATCCTTTTTTCTTCTTCTTTCTTAACAGCTCATATTCCTCTTCTCTCCCTTGCTGAGTTAACAACCTTTTCAACAACTTCTTTTTCTCTTTCTTCGACAGAAGTTCTAAATCTTCCTCTTCAATTTCCGCCTCTTGTTCATGCAGAAGTTTCATCAGTTCTTCGTCAATGCCCCGCTTTCTTTTCCGCTCTTTTTTGGAGTCGGAATCATTTTCCTCGTCATCTTTTAGGCCAAGTCTCTGAAATATTCCGGCTTTTCTATCTTCGATGTCCGACTGATTTTTTATAGTTATCTGCGGCACCATTAAAATGTTTTTCCCGGAACTCTTACGTTTTTTCATGTCGGTAAATTTAAACTTTTTATAAAAAAAACACTTCCCCCTTTCCCAAATTTTTTTAGATCTTTCTGAAATTTTTTACTCACTGGATTATTTTTTAAAACCCAAATCTATCTTTTAAACCAAAATCTTTTTTTTACAGATTTTTTTATTGGTACCGGCCAAAGAAAAGTTTTCTTGCACTCAAAAGCTCCCGGATTTTTTTTTTCCCCTTTTAAAAACCAAAAACCCTTTATTTAATTTCTAGGCCTTTTCTGAAAATGTTACAAAAAAGGCATCATATTGGTTTGATTCCACAAATATTCAATTTTTAAACAAATTTAATACATACATTAAACTAAAATATACATTAAACTAAACTATAAAAACACCAAAATTAACATAGACATTGAAACATAAATGCCACTAAGGCATAGATTACTTTTAAAGGAAAAAAAAATTACTGTAAGGAAAATAATTAATAAAATACTGTCAGAACTATCCTATCACTTTACTAAATGACTGTTACACCTTTACTGGTAAATGTTGAGTGTTGTTAAAATTTATACTACCAAGCCAAATATTAATTTCACTTTACCTGGTATGGATACAGAACTTTTTGATTTAATTTTGTGCTTGACCGGCAAGTCTGAAAAAAGTAAAAATATTGCATAGATATGTAAACATATCAAATAGGTATGACATTATTACTGCCTATCAAAGTTGCCATAAGGAGGCAGCTGTTTTGGCCCAAGGGGACTGTCTTTTAAAAAGCCCTTTTAAAAGGCCCCCCTCAAAAAAATTAAAAAAAACACACTTTTTTGAATGTAAAAAAAACAAAAACGCCAAATTTATTTTTGGTCTGGAAAACCTTTTGCATTGGTATATTCCCCGTGGCAAAACGTTAAAAAGATTGGGAAAAAGGATTGTAAGTTTTTTAAATTTAAAATTCCCTTTAAATTTTGGATTGTAAAATTTCCCAAAAAAATTCCTAAAGTTTAAAATATTGAAAAAAGGGAAATAATAAGACGGGTTTTGAAAGAACAAGGATTGGGAAGTTTTTTAAAAAAAATATATTAAACCTTTTTAAAATCATAGAAAAAGGGCACTTTTTTAAGACGACTTTTACAGCAAACCCCCATTTTTTTCTTTAAATAAAACAGCCCTTAAAATATTACACAGAACTGCTAGTAATATAATTACAAGATTACCTTCTTCTCTCTTATCATGTTCAGATTCCTTATCAGATTCACTTTTCTCACTTTCATTATCATCTTCTAGATCACCTTCACCAATTTCTATATCTATATCATCAGGTAGGTCAATATCTGACTTGTTATCACCTCCCTCATCTGCAGAGTCACTACTGTTGAGAGAGAATATATCTTGGTATATGTATATATCACAATTTGATCGCAGTATATAAATGTTTACAATGTTGACAATTCTACACATGAAAAGAAACAAACTGGTTAAATAGTTATAGCCCACAGACAGTTGAAATAATATAACTTCTGAATGATAATAACATTTTTATTGTCTGACCATATTATCATCTTTAATTCTTTTACCCATAACTTGCTGGAATTGAAAGTAATCAGCCTTTGTTATCAGTTACAGCCAGGCCACAATGCACATTAGTTGGTAGCATAACTTTTGTATTTTGTTAATGAAATCCCCTACAACTAAAGTCAAATGAACTGAAGAAGGGTAGAATCATTACCTAATTTCAGCACAGTATGGTAAAACTATCCATTTCAAACTAACAATGATGAGTAGAAGAAACATCTCAAATTTTAACATATCAAATATTCTAAGTGGACTTTATTTTGAAGGAGTCTGTTATCAATTTAAGGGAAATAAGCCCTTTATAGAGTTCCAGCATTAAAAAATTTAATTATATTCTTCCAGTGAACCTACTGAGGGCAGTTTTGGTAATTGTGGAAATATTTTACCTTGAATCCACTTCTTCATTCTTATTATCTCCCTTTTCATCAACATTGGACTGGTCCTCATCATCTCCAGACTGTTTCCCTGATTTATCGGATTTCTCTGACTCGGATACCTTCTTTGCCCCCACATTTTCCCACCTTTTTCTCTTGTTTTCAAGGACTGTAAATTAATCATATAAAGCATTTTTTTAAAAGTTTGCTGGTAACAAATAATCATTTAAACGTATCTTGTTTCCTCAAGAAAGTAAGTAAGCATAATGGTACAATACTTGTGATCATATACCATTTGCTAGGCTGGTTCTAGGGCTTTTATTGGAAGACATTTAAGAATCATATATATGAAATACTCATTCTTAAATATGAAAAGATGGATCAAAAATATTAGATCCCTTTATGAAATGACAATGATTTTATAATAATCTTTACCAAACAGTCAACAATAGATGGATTCAAATTAGGACAATCAAAGTTACTGTAAAATTAATAAAGATTACAAAGAATTTTCGAAAAACGCCTACCAATGGAAAACACATAAAATCATAGAACAAGAGCTGTCGGTAGGACAGCAACGCTCGACTATTCTTAGTGCTTGATAGTAAAAAAAAATGCTTGATATAGTTACCTCCTCCTGTTTACAGGTTGGGGTCATGATGGTGAACAAGTGTGCAAAGTTTCAAAGCCATATGTCAATGGACTTTGAAAATATTTGAACTATTACAAAAACTTTAACGTAAATTCTAAGTCCAAAAAGGGGCATAATTCTGTCAAAATGCTTGATAGAGTTACCTCCTCCTGTCTACAGGTTGGGGTCATGATGGTGAACAAGTGTGCAAAGTTTCAAAGCCATATGTCAATGGACTTTGAAAATATTTGAACTATTACAAAAACTTTAACATAAGTGGTTACGCCGACGCTCGGGGTACTACAATAGCTCTACTTATTCTTATCGAATAGTCGAGCTAAAAATCACGACACATTTGGTCAGCATTATTAAATCAAACAATTTCTCACAAAAAATATCTACATGTATAACACTAACTTTTCTTTCGTTTTGCATCCATCAAGGATTGCAGGGCACGTTCTCTATAAATATCTTCCAATGATTTGACGTCCTCTTTCACAATGTCTGCGACAACTTTACTGCGATCACCTTAAATACAACAATGTTTTAGTAAAAATATTGATGCAAGAACTGAAACACTTTTTTCTATCGTAACTTAGATAGCACTATTATTAATATGGATTACTACATATGCAAATGGCCAAACTTTGATCTAGTTCATTCGCATCAAGAAAGCACTTCTAGAAATTGGACTAAAAAATAACATATTTAACCTTTAAAGAAGAAAGCCACTTTCATATAAAATCCCATTGTAATTTTACAAGTTTGATAAAATGAGCAAAAAAAATATTCAAAAACTATATACTTTTCACTTTGTCCACTTTTTCTTCTTTCTTCTCTGTTTGTTTTTCCTTCTCTTCTTCCTCCTCTTTCTCTTGTTTCTTATCTTTTTTAATGGATATAATTTTAGATCCTGTCACTTTCACCTCCTGTAGTTTCCGACCCCGGCCCCCTTGTCGGAACTTGTTCAGTATACCTCTTTCCCTGTCACGATTTGGACTTCTGTAACAGAAATAGATAAACATACATAATAATAATAATATTTTCCTTTTGGTTGGATTTTAATCACAATAATACTGTTAAGGTAAGGTAAGACAACAGCGAAATGCTCCTCTCTGTGTATTATCCAAAGCAATAACAGCCACTTTCCCAACCCCCATTTGAATCCAAAATGTTTTGTTAGTTAAGTGTGGAAAGATTAATCAAATGCCTGTGCAGCTTGTATCACTCTGTCAAAAAGGTAAGGCATGACAAAGTATATATTTCGACATGACATCATTTGCATTAGGCCACAGAAAATTAATCTTTAGACTCTCATCCCCGCCCGCCCGTATCAAAATCTTTCCGCCCCAAAATAATTTATTTTCAAAAAAAAAAATTGTTCATTTCCAGGGTTCCCTCTTGGTCAAAATTAGTTTCATCTTCACATGTTCCCGAAGTGTCACACAATTGATGACATAATTGATTATACGGTACCCGATTAATAGTGCGTGACCTTTAACATTTGGGCCGCTTATGTAATTGACGCGGCCTCTTATGACATTTAAGTGTACTAGTTGTCGGATGCTTTTATCTTACGTTGGCGCCAGTTGAATTCGCAAATTAAAGATTTTATGCGCCAGAATTAATATTTTGTCGCATTTGAAGCCATTGGCGATCGACAGCGGGAACCCTGCATTTCGCAGACGTCTGTGGACGAAAATTCGTCCGAAAATCGTGGTTGAATATTCGCGGGACGAACACATAAAAATCAGACTGAGGTTTACAGCGTCTAGTGATCAAGATTTAAAATACGTTGTTTTCGATCAGTAAAATTGTCAAAATGTTCGTCATATGTGAAATATATGATGCAGTAAACAAGAAAACTGTTTGTGATTGGTTTGGGTTTAGTTTTGATCAAAATCTGGGTGGAAATGATGCGACGTTCATCAATATATTCATACATTTCTGTTTTTTTTCAGGTCTTAAAAGTGCTGGATAAAATAAATTATAAATTATAAATTCCGCCCAACCGCCCCAATTATTTCTTGAACCTGGATGAGAGTCTAAAGATTAATTTTCTATGGCCTTACACAAACATAGCATAAAAGGGGACTAAATGTAAGCATTACACTATAGCCTCCTCAATGGAAAAGTGATAATTTTTATTGTAAACAGTTCTTTTCTCAGTAAGCAATAAATAAAATATTATATTCAGGTATGTTTATTACTTAATAAATTCATGTTAAAAAAACAAAATGAAATATCCTGTAATTTTACCTGGATCTTCGCCTGGGAGGACTTCTACTTGACCTGCGGCCAAATCTTCTGCTATCTCTCCACTCTGGACTCCTTGACCGGTCTAAACTTCCTGATCGTCGCCTTATACTGGAACTATAGCGCTCAGCACTTAATGACCTCTGTCTGCTCACTGGAGTCGGACTCTGGGACCTGCGTGGGCTTACAGATCTACGTGGGCTCAAAGACCTACGAGGACTTTTAGAACGTGACCTCCTCAGAATGGGACTAGGTGATCTTCTATAAACATTTCTTTGGCTTGTATCAACCCAAGGTTTGGCATTTAGAAAATAATCCAAAGGATTACTGGACTGAAAATCAAAAACATTCAATTCAAATTAACTAACAAATAAAACACTTGATAATAGTCACTTTATTAATGACTTGTATTTGTACACACAAAAATTAATTTAGAGCAGATCACAAATAATTATTAATGTCTTATAAAATTCTGTAGCAAGAAGTATTACTCCTATCTTTTAATGCAGTTATTATACATTTGGTACAGAGTAATCCCTAAAAGAAGCACTAATGACTATCAGAAAGGTGTTTAAAATCACATTTAGACGGGAAATTACTTTGAAATAGTAAAAGATCATACCTGTATTTGTGTATGAGGTGGAACTGTGGGCTGTACTCTTGTTACAACTTTCATCGGTGAGCCTTTAATGCTATCTTGGTCAGACTCTGTAAAACAGACAGTCTTTAAGTATGTTGTATTTGGGATGACTAAAACAAGCATGCATTACACCAAAATAACAGTTTAATAACATGGTTTTCCGCTGTACTAGCTATTTAGTTCAATATATCAATATATCATCAATACTTGGCTTTCAATATACCAATACAAAATTTTCTGTCAATGACAGCTAGAATACATTTTGTAAATTTAATGACAAGATGGAAATTAATGTTATATGAAAGTACAGTAATCATTTCAGTTTGAGTTGTGTTAACAGCTAAAAAGGGTGCGTTTGTTTGTTTTTTGTTTTTTTCATAAATGTAATTCACATTCATATCAATATTAACAGGTACAGTAAAAACTCTGAAAACAGGACCCTGCTCAGGCTAACCTAAAGTCTGGTTTTCAGAGGATTCATTTTTTCCGAGGTTTTATAGATAGTCATTTACTGGTCATTATTATGATTTTTTGTACATTGACTTTGTATCTTGTAATCGCATTTTGATATTTCACAGTATCAGAATTCTGTGGTAGAAATGATTGTAGTTACCTTCATTTGGGTTAATTATAACAGGATCAATCTGCATCAATGGAACACTTGCTGGTGGTAGAGAAGCACCTGGGTGAAATGGCGGGAACCCAGGAGGTGGTCGAGTGATAGGTGGCCCTGGGAACATCTGTGCCGGTCCAATGCCCGCACCTTGCCAACCAGGGCGTGGTGGTGGTGGAGGGCGATTGTAAATTACTGGTACTGGTCCCGCTAATAAATAAATTCCACTTATATATAACACAAACAATTAAAATGCATAAGCAAAAAATGGATTATAACAAAGGTATTTGCTTCCCAATGAAATGGTAAAATCATAACAAAGAATTACTGTTTATCATTACAATAAATTTTAGGTTATATTTTGCATGTCCTGACATGCTAGGTTTTTGCAAAAAAAATTCATCAAGTCATGTTCTATTAATCATTTCATATTGACATCAAAAGCAAGTTTAAGGAGAGGAAAGTTCAAATTTAGTTTGAAATTTTGATAATGTTGTCTCTTTTTTATTGGGTTTAATGTTGCACCAACACAGTATAGACAGCTGGCGACTTTGCAGCTTTTACTGGTGTAGAAAGACCTCAGGTGCACCTCTTTGCATTTTTTTTTTCAGTCACATGCAAGTACCTGAGTAGAATCACCAAAATTCTGTAAGCCAGCTGGAAATAAAGCCTTCAACTTTTGACATCTCTTAAGTCTACACTTTTAGTCAATTGTCAGTGACAATATCACTACTTTCTGGAAGATCGATTACTGTCTACTTTATAACAAGTATTGTCAATTTATTGTATTCAAGACATTTTTTTGTCACAGAAGTTTTTTGGCTTCTTTTTTACACCAAAGGGGGTCTCAGTAATAGAAATAACAGATTCTGAATAACTGATGCCGTACTGTTGTTCATTGATTATCAGGTGTTGAATTTTAAAATGATGCCAGAGTTTTTTTTAATAAATATAGATTTGAAGTGATATGTTATATAAATGCAATATGAACATACCTGAAACTGGTGGCCGTTGGAGGATATTTCTGGCCGGTACTGGAGCGACTGAAACGGGTACTGGTCCTGGTGGGGCAGTCTGTTGTTTACTGAACTTGTGGCGGAACACACAGTTTGGTCTGGTACAACCCCCTGGCTGAGTCTCATAAAAACATGGTACATTTTGCTGAAATTTTTCATATATATGAACTTTATTATCTACAGCTTTGTAAATATCATAGCATTTTTGTGACAAATGGTCAGACAGACAGACATGCAATCAAAATGGAAAAAGGGGAACATTTCTTTTATTTTCTTTTGTTTAATCGGACCCTTCCTCTTTTGTTACTAAATAAATTGTTAATAATGAATAACTCTATCGTTATCTTTTGTTCTGTTTACATTTAGATTGCCCCCTATTTCTTTTCCGTAGTGCAGACAGACAAAATAGATGAGATCCCTATTTGTCCCGGCAATTCTGTAGCAGGAGTCACAAAAATCACATTAAAATTATGAAACAAATTCATATTTGTAAAGTTAAACAATATTCCTACCTGTAACTCCATATGTCGTAAAGGACACGGGAGAGCCTTGCATAAATGCATTCTCCATTTATCGCAAGTCACCGTACTACCCTTGGCTTCCTCGACGTGTCGGTATGGACACAATTCTCCCTACAATATATAGTATAATAGTAATATATACATAAACAATCTCTGCAGAGAATCTTAACATGTATTCAGAATTTTTTTATGACAGTAATCAATCTTTCCTCTTCAAGATCTCATATAACAACATTCTTCCTATTTAATCTTTGTATTTTTCTTGTACCAAATCATGCAAATTAGTAAATATTTCTTTTACTTCCTGGCTTATTACCAAATTATTTAAAGGAATTTACCTGATGGGAAGACAAGTCTCCAAAAATGTTAAGTAAAACAAAGCCCTGTGGTTTTACTGGCTTAACTATGATGAAAAGCAGGTATATCTATTTAAAGCCTAAGCCTCAGTTTCTGTGGCCTTTATCCGATCAGCCTTAAATCATACCCAAAGGTAAAGGTCAATGTAATGTACCAAAACACAAATTACCTAAGATACTGGTAATTCATAGAAAGGTGCTATGAGAATGCTGGATGATCATTCATGGAAGCATATAAAGTCAAAACAGAAACTGTATGATCCATTGAAATATACCGTGTAATGCAAGGATTAAAAGTTAACACTGAACCAACTGTATTTGCATAATGGACCTGCTCTGCCTTGATTTTGGAACACTCCATTTGAAGTTTGAGGGATTTCAATATCAAAATACAAAAAAAGTGAGCTACAAACAGTATAGAACTTGTAGGCTGGGCTGGCTCAATCCTCGTGACAAAAGTTAATCACTTTCAGTTCCAGCAGGTTAAGGGTTTATAGAAAACAAGAACTGCAAGATTAGTGAAATGATTTTACCTTTATACAAGTTTGGTTGTAGAAGAAGTAACAATCGTCCCCTGTCTTTGCCATCTTCCCTCGATCCCTCTAGTTGCCCTAATGAGTGTTGTTGCGAGCGGAATGTGTCGTCCCCTTAGTCCATATCTAGGAGTTCAAGTTGAAAACATGCCATCTATTTTATTATATATATTTATCAGTCATGTCAAAAGTCCTGAAACATTTTCACTCACACTTTTCATTCACACAACAATATAATTTTTTTTCTAATTAAACCAACAAAATGCAATAAGACTGAAATAAATCATGTCCTATCCAAAGATGGCTTAAAAATTTTCTTTCCTAAAACTGAGAAGGTGGATGAACTTGCGTCCAATAGCCAGACCTGCAATAAAAGAAATGTAAATCCCTTTAAGTATTAAGTTACATAAACAAGTCATTTACTATTAACAATTATTACACCATTGAATATGGCAGGAAAAATAATCAAAAACATTATTATTAAACAAACAATTAAAACTTCAATCTACATGTATTAACATTTTTACAAAACATATTATTTTAGGTGCGAATGAACACCAAAGTAAAACCATCGACCTTTCGTAAGCAAGCCGGATACATGTAGTTTCCTCACACTAAAGTTTAGGATTGGATTCAAAACAACAGCAGTGAAGGAAAATATGAAGTAAGATGCCATAACACAAGGCCATTCTGATCTTAGTAACATTTTAATAATTGGTTAAAAAAAAAGCATCAAATACAGTATCACATTGTTAATTATTCTCTATAATTTGTAAATTTTTCATCAAACTAATATTACTTAGAATTTCTTTTCATTTGCTTCGCCTTGAAATCATAAATAAAAGTTAAACAAACAAAAATAAACAACTTCATAAACAAAACCTCGACACAAATGTATTTTATGGAACAGTATCTTTAAAAGTAAGATATTTTACCTTAAAGAGTCAGACTGCAGGGAACCGGCAACTTCTTGGTCTTCATGTCTCTTGTCAGTGTACCCTATATTTTTATCTTATTTCTTAAACTATATTTTTTTAAACTATAACATTTTTTTCTGTTATTGGTCTATATGACTATTTTATATTTTCAAAAAAAAAAAATTTTTTAAAACTTAATTTCAAACAGTTTTTTTTTTTTAAAAATTCATTTCAAATAAGGATAACAAAAAGTTGATTTTACAGAATTTGACAATTAATGCAAAATTAAGACCTCAGAAAAAAAAAGACCTCAGATTTGTTTCCAAAAATTTTGTTCAGTAACAATGTTAAAAACAGGGGAAAACATGTTAACTGAATTACTTAAAATTTTAATTCTCCTGCTTCTAGAAACTTCCTAATTTGGATATCAAACAAAAATTTTAAGAATATATTTAAATTCACAATATGTTTGTTATGCACAGAAGTTAAAAATACCAACTTTTGTCTTGACACATACATGTCTGTCTCCAATATGCATTAAGTGCATGTTCTAATATACATATTATTACTTCATTGCATTTTAATTAGAAATTTATCTATTTATATTATCAGATGTATACACAACTTCTGACAAACAAAAAATCAACAATGTGTATAGATTCTTTCTGTAACAAAATATCATCAATCTGTATAGATTCTATCATTCATAAATAGTTCAGGGCAATACCTGAATGAACAATTGTCTTTATTTTAAACACAAAAGCTTCTGCGCTCTTCAAAATTTCATTTTAACAAAATAAAAGATTTTAACAAAATGAAAGAAAATACTTAAAATAAACTTTCTTCCTACAAGATATGCCTGACACGTAAACAAACATTTTGTTCAAAGTCATGGCCCTTGAGCTTTTGTTTTATGAAATAGCTTTAGTAAGTTTACAAAGTAAATCAAAATAAAATGCTCCTCCTATATACATGAAGTATATCAAATATACTGGTATAAAATAACCATGTCCATCCCAAGTTTCTTATGTGGCCTCAACGAGACTCCACTTAGGTTTTTTTGACATGACAGATTTGTTTTACTATTTGAAACATGTCTGAATCAATAACCTTTGTGCAAAATTTCTGATCATCTGCTCATTTTTTCAGAATAATCATTTTCATTGTGTAAAAAGAAAGAATAAAAAATCTTATGCCTTTATGCTTTTTGGACCTCAGTGGCGTTCCTTTAATTCTAACTGTCCAGTTCACTTAATTGTAACCCTAAATAAACTATAAAATTCAAACCAGATTTACACCATTTGTTCACATTTACTTTCATACTTTCTACAATGCTGGTCAGTCTTACAATTTTACTTTCAAATCTGATGGTATACAACTGCAAAATAATTCTGAGTTTCAAATATCTTTATATGCTGTTAAGACAAAATCTTAGATTAAATTTTAACAACTGCCATATATTTAATTGCATAAAAAATTGATTTGACCAGATGACATGTGACAATTTTGGTTTTTAAAAGAACATAAACTTCTTTTCTGTAATGATAAAGTAAAACTGACCAGTTAAGTTGATACAGGTACATGTCATTTTTTTTATATTTTTTTTCTTTCGCACTGACACTTATTTGCTATCACATTCCCTAACAAAAGAAGAATGTCAAAACAAAACTGATTTTCAAAATTATACACATAGGATTTGTGAAAAAAAAAAGAGACCAGTGGCATTGCACTAATAAATATATTTAATTAATATAAACAACATTCAAACAGCATAAAATCCTTGCCGTCTATAGATGTTATATTTTGGTATCTTAATATTTTCATTTCACTTTTCATTCATTTGATTTAAGTTGTAACTGCAAAAGTTTAAACTCTTTGAAGTATTAATCTACATTTTATTCCCCACTGGTATCTTTTTACTTGCCACTGTACTTGACAAACATACATGTAAATTATAATCAAACATATATCAATATGTATAGATATACCAAAAATGAACAAATAAAAATAAATTTCAAACAAGAAAAAATCCTTTAAAAAAAACTTATATTCTATCAATCTTGTAAGTTATATTCCATTAAGTCCACTAAGCTTATAATGTGAAATTTGGAATCACCTAATTCTTAAACCTGACAAACATAATTTTCACAGCAAAACTTTTACTAACATTTTTTTATCACCAAAAATATACAAATTGTCTTAATTATTAATTCTTAAAAGTAAGCTTTTACTTTTTCTTTATATTTGATCTGAAATTTGTATTAATTTATACATATGCAATAAAATTCAACTGGAATGTAACTTTCTTGTAAAAAAAATTAAAACGCTTAAAATAATTAATGAATGGTATGCCCTTTATAAAGAAAATTGAAGTTAAATACTGGGCATATTTCTCAGTTTTTCATATATATATTGTTCAGAAATTTAACTTGTTATTTTTAAACAAGACTTCCTAAACTATATTCTCTGGGCTCCATTGCCATATATCTCATTATATGTCCATATTTTTCATGTACTATTTATAACTTTTAACTGTGCCTTTAATGCAAGTCTTTAGTGTCTGCTTTAACAAACTTCATTATAAAACATTTAGCACAAAGCACAACATTATGCTATTGTCTTACTGACATTAACTTGGAATGATACCCTGTACATGAAACTTACAAGACTAAATTTTTTGTTTCCTTTACCCAACCCTGTCAAATATCATATTTGATCAATCATCTTCTTTAAGCGAGTGCCCAAAAACAGACTCTACAGAAAATTTTAAAAGATGGGTTTAAACACGAGGGAACACCCGCATGCCACGGTCCCTTTGTTAACTTTAAATTTAACAGAAACTAGTTGCCCTTCTTTCTTCTACAACAATTTTTTTCCTTTTAACCCATATAAAGTAAAGTAATCCTCTGCTCCCATCCTTAACTCCCTAAAAATTAGTAATTTACATTAATGCAACACTCTTTGTATCACTAACTGTCTCATGTAAAAAAAATACAATGCAATGCGAGTGAGCATCTTCAAACCACATATTTTTTTACACCATGCAAATGTGAGCACTACAAATATCTTCCAGCAATGATTTCAGGGACATGTTCTTAGAAACGGTGTCTTAGTGTTGTTTCACTACTGAATCAAGTACAAGTTATGAGAGATACAATTGCAAAGGAAAGTTGCTTCTGGTAAAGAGTTTTTAAGTGAATGGTGAAAAGACTAGGGAGAGAGCATGGGATCCGTTTTTTGTGGTTGTGAGCTCAAAAATCACACCTGTAGTATGATTTCTTCAACATGTATAATCTGCACAGGTCCACCTGGGGATAGTAACCTAGCATCTGTTGTGGTAAAAAGTCTACTCTGTAAAGAGTCTACTCGGCCCTACAAATATGGGCAGAGTTGACCCATGCCAAGTTGGAAGAGGGCCAAGCTGACTCTGGGTCCCCCCCCCCCCGAGTACAATTTAGGGCCAAACTGACCCCAATTCATCTGCTGTGACAAAAATCATGCCTAGATCCCGAAGAAGGACATAGACCTTACTTCCAAAACAAACCCGTTCAACTACCAGATGGTATATGGATAATAGAATAACATGATGATCTGTAAAAAAGGTGTATTAGTCTGAAAACACATGCATGTAATATCCAATCCGACAATGTCATTTTTCTTCCTCCTCTAATTGTACAAGTGTAATCTATTATTATTCTATCCAGAATGATATGTGCTTATAAATATCAATTTATATTACAGCTATTATAGATGAACATTTTTGTTTTCTAAATCAATTTTTTTAAATTTTATACAGGTTGGAAAATAGCTAGTGTCTAAGTTTTATTGTTACCAACTATAAATAAAGATTATGTTATCGTTTTATCTAAAAGTTGCGCAATACATACTTAAATATACCTGTAGGATGATAAAATTATAAGATTTACTTACATGATATGAAAATTATGTACAAAATTTAGATCTAGCCTTTAAATTTTTTTTGAGTCACAAGTCTACAAAATAGAGTATTGATATGAACATTGAACCAAACTTAGAAGTATTATTTGTATACTACAGGCATTTATTTAAAATGATTCCTCGTTAAAAATAGATAAAAGTTATTTCCGTTTACGCATCAAATTTGATTACGAAATTATACGATATGGTAACCCATTTTTTTAGGTCAGGAAATCATTTGTTTTACGTCACACGCATGAAACAAATTTAGTCGCTCCTTACTTCAAATAATTTGATCAACAAACCGGCATGTATTCATAGGAAAATAAATGCTTCAGTCATATAATATTTTTAGCAAAATGTAAAACACAATCTTTTATATTTACGGTAACTTTTTATGAAAATTATTGCATTGCTGTCTTGTAAGAAACTCTTAAAGGTCAAGTACGGCTGAGAAGTAATAACAAATTTGATTGGCTGATAAATATAAATTCAGGTTAGGTATAATATAATAATTTCTTAATAAAACAGAAGGAAAGTTCATCTCCACATATACTACTACTAAATTTATGATTGTTTATATATTAATTCATTTGAGGTAACACGAAATGTCATTACAACAAAATAAAATTATTTTGAGTTCTGACATGTTACAAAGGCAAGTTGCTCTTGCATAAAATATCTCACAGAGTGGGGGGTTGCACGGGTCGACACATGTATCAGACTGTCTCCCATAACTTAAGATGACTCTATGAGCATCATTGCGTAACATTTTTTAACAAATATATGTTCGTGCAACTGTTTGGCCTTGTACAAAATGGCTTGTTTTAATAAACATTATTGTTTTGTTAATGTTTTATATATAAGCTATAAAAATGATCAATGCTCAATATTTTGACTGCAAGACCGACTGATTTTACAAACTGTTATTACACAGATGTCAGTCTAAAGGCAACCATCATCTATATAATAAAAAGCCCCAGAGCGCACAATTTGTTGGGCTTAATATATCTGGGACCCAAAACATAAAAAGTATACTTTTGGTCCCAGTATATCAACAACTTAGAGTTGTGCAAGGAGCAGCAGTCAGGCGCCTCTTTTCTCAGTATACTTGATAGTATAACAAAAGCAAAAGGGGCATAATGCTACAAAATGGTTATCTAAATCATTTGCCATTGATAGTAAACAAGTACCTCAATTAAGAAGTGAATATATGTGATGGTTTTTGCAAAAATTTCAAAAATATGAAAGGGAGATAATTAAGCAAACAAGAGCTGTCGGTAGGACAGCAACGCTCGACTATTCTTAGTGCTTGATAGTAAAAAAAATGCTTGATAGAGTTACCTCCTCCTGTTTACAGGTTGGGGTCATGATGGTGAACAAGTGTGCAAAGTTTCAAAGCCATATGTCAATGGACTTTGAAAATATTTGAACTATTACAAAAACTTTAACGTAAATTCTAAGTCGAAAAAGGGGCATAATTCTGTCAAATGCTTGATAGAGTAACCTCCTCCTGTTTACAGATTGGGGTCATGATGGTGAACAAGTGTGCAAAGTTTCAAAGCCATATGTCAATGGACTTTGAAAATATTTGAACTATTACAAAAACTTTAACGTAAATTCTAAGTCGAAAAAGGGGCATAATTCTGTCAAAATGCTTGATAGAGTTACCTCCTCCTGTTTACAGATTGGGGTCATGATGGTGAACAAGTGTGCAAAGTTTCAAAGCCATATGTCAATGGACTTTGAAAATATTTGAACTATTACAAAAACTTTAACGTAAATTCTAAGTCGAAAAAGGGGCATAATTCTGTCAAAATGCTTGATAGAGTTACCTCCTCCTGTTTCCAGGTTGGGGTCATGATGGTGAACAAGTGTGTAAAGTTTCAAAGCCATATGTCAATGGACTTTGAAAATATTTGAACTATTACAAAAACTTTAACGTAAATTCTAAGTCGAAAAAGGGGCATAATTCTGTCAAAATGCTTGATAGAGTTACCTCCTCCTGTCTACAGGTTGGGGTCATGATGGTGAACAAGTGTGCAAAGTTTCAAAGCCATATGTCTATGGACTTTGAAAATATTTGAACTATTACAAAAACTTTAACATAAGTGGTTACGCCGACGCCGACGCTCGGGTGACTGCAATAGCTCTACTTATTCTTATCGAATAGTCGAGCTAAAAATGACCCTCATAATTATCTGTCCTGACTACATGCATTCCAATTTTAATCTTGATCAAGTATTCCAGTTTAAAGTGGATATCTTTGATAGTTTTTGGGTAATTAACCATAACAAAAAGGTTAATCAGGGCAAAAAGGGTCTATTAGTCAACAAAGGGGCTTAACAAATTATAATTTTATCTGTGATACAGTCACATACATGTTAGGTACATTATTTTAGCTCAGTTGTGAAGAAAACTTGTAGTTTATTGGAGTCACTCTAAAGTTCATTTCCTGGAACAAACCATTACTGGTGTTATATGAGGAAATATTATCATGACCCATAAGGACTTGAACACACACCATCCCTTGGTTGAGATGCAGACACATTAAAGTGACTCCACTGAGGTTTTTTGACATGACGGGACTCAGGAAATAATTTTTTGAGATTATTACTCCATTTGATGTAGATCTAGACTAATAACTTCTGTGCAAAATTTCAGATCATTAGCTCGCTCCGTTTTTCCAGAATAATTATTATAATAGTGAAAAATGACCCAAAATTGAAAAGCGTTAAGGCTTTTCACTCAATTTGGACTGAGAATAGCACACACATATGATTTTCAATGTATTTCTTGTATATTTCTTAATTATATTTTATTCATATTTCTGTTTAAATGCTCATGTTTATCGATGTGAAAAATTAAAATTTTATGTTTTTCGGCTTTTAACCTCAATGGCCTTTAACAGTTAGGTCACCACTGACACTTTGTTAGGTTTCAGAGAGTAAAGGATACATAATATTATACTACTTGTCAGCTTTCCAGTAAAGTCAATGTTTGAGTTTGATTTGCATCATCAACTTACTTTCAGTTTATAGGACTTAATTTTAATTTTTTTTTCATTATTTCATACGGTTTCAAGTCAAAACAACACTGTCAGTCATATGAAAACATCCCGCTAATATTCATGCATGAGCAGCCAGTTAAACAGCACTTTATCAACCTTTCGTAAGCTTCTATAAACAGTATAGCTTTCTCACATAAAATTATCCTAAGTTTCCAGTGAAATCCAAACATACAGTGGTCAAGATCAAGTGGTTTGAAATCAGTGATCTTAACCACTGTGCCACAAAGACCCCATATTCTTTTGCTGGTTGGCTCAGAGGTACATCTCTTAATATCTAAGAGGTAAATCTCTTATTACCTGGGAGTGATGTAATAAAAACAAAATAAGTATAGGGTATATATAGCTTTTACTTAATAGTCAATTAGCAGTAACATTTTTTAGTATAATTATAATGTGACTCAACATCTAAAATACCTACATGTACATATACAAACTTACAAAATTATATAAATAAGCAAGTATATCAGGTTTAAAATTAAAAATTATAAGTGTTTATAATTAACAAACACCTCCATCCAAAATCTCGTGTAATTTCCTGAATTTTAAACTTTGACCATCAAGGCTGAAGGTCAAGGCCATTTATGGCTTGACATCATACATCATACAATATGCCAAATTGAAGTTCTAGTCTTAAGGTATATGTTGTATTGAAATATAACTGTAGCTTATAGATCGAGAAATAGAACAATTATGGGTAATGTTAAAGATGTCTGCAAAAAAAAACCCAGACAAAAAGGCAAACAATTAAAACAATACTATGCTTGCTGGAAGATTTCTAACATACATATTGCTGCATTATTTAATAAGCTAAATGGAATAAAGTACAGTTTAATACTAAATGAGCTTAATAAACAAATTGGCAAGTTTAAATATCATGGCATTAAAAAAGTAATTATAAAAGAAAACAGCAGACTTTATATAAAATTAAGGACTCCGTCTTATAAGAGGTCAGTCTTGTAGGTAAATAAATAGATTGAGTAAATGATGTTTTAAAGCCTTATCACCATATCACAGATATAAATGTATAAAATATACTTGGTGCTACAAAACAATGCCAATATGCCCTTGTTTCTAATCGCTTGAATAGCCACAAAATTCAAATTTTAATTATTTTATAGTATCTTTGATTATGAAATGGATGATAAACAAAACACTAATGTATAAGCCAAACAAATCACAGAGTAAGTTTGATTATGAAGAATTATACACTTTGTCCACAATATGTATACATGTGTACACTTTAACACTTACCCTGCAGAAATCGTAAGTTATTACCCTTTGATACCAGTATAGAGCCAGACCAGCTCATAGTACATACATGCAGTATGACCAGGCTCTAAACTGGCTTACTTCTAATTTTCATCTCGATACACAATGAAAATTGACAGTTGAAGAAATAAAACCTCAACATGGTCATTTAAAAAAAAAATAAGCAGGTTAAAGGGTAAGTTACAGGCCATTACATACAGGTCAGTAACAGTTTACTGCTATTTTTTTTTTTTTTTTTTTTTGGTTGGGTTTTACGTTGCACCAACACCGTAGAGGTCATAAAATTGGCAACTTTCGACTTTTATTGGTGCAGGAATACCTCGGGTACACTTCCCTGCATTATTTCAGGCATGAACGGGCCTGAGGAGAACCACCGACGTTCCATTAGCTAGCTGGGTAGCTTCCTAACATAAAAGAATCCAATGTCCCTGTCAGAATTTGAACCCACAGCGGTGAGGGGCAAGTGGTTTGTAGTCAGCGACTTTAACCACTTGGCCATGGATGACCCTAACTGCTTGTTTCAAGTACAATTCTATGTGTATATTACAAAACATTAATATATTTTTTCCTGCCTTTAAGACTTCTTAATTAGAATTGTGCTTTTGGCCTTTTTTCTATGTAGAATTTTCTCAGTCAATTGACCTTCAATTAATGAATTCAAAATTTATACCAAATATACCAGATATGCAATTTGTTGCAATTCTTAGGCTATTAAATATTAGAGGGTATTAAATGTTTTCACTTGTGAATAATCGCCAATAAAAAAAACCCCCAAACAAACAGTGCTCAAAAAGTCATAAATCACTTCAAAGGCAAATAAGACAATTTACATATTTACAAGAAATTGTTCTATTTTTTTGTGTTTTGTTTGGTTATAATTATAGCGCACCAACACAATTTAGGTCATATGGTGCCAGAACATGGAAGATGATTTTAGCTAACCTCGGGTGTTAAAAACTTAAAGAATCACCAGGGGGTCAAAACCACCTCACCTGTTAGAGCTTAGAGATGCAAAACGGTGACTGCAATTCTGATGACTTAACTCTTGGAGGCAACCAGTTACTCAGCCACAAGGGGGGATTGGGTTTTAAGACACATTGAAAGTGTTAAGGTCACATGTTGACTTAATACCTCGTCATGTAGTAACTTGGTCATATGCTGATTTTCAAGCTTTACTGGCAATAGGAAGAACAAAGATGCCCCTCTATGCACTATTTCAGCTATTGAAAGGCACCTATGAAGAACAACAATCTTCCACGGCCAGATAGCTTTGGAACAGGAAAGAATTAAATGCCCCTGACAGAAATCAATCCCATATCTGTGAGGGATACATATAATTAATTGATCATGATCAAATGTTAGTTTCTATGATCAGACTGGCTATACAAAAAAAAACCAGAATCATATTTTTGTGCGATTCTTAGCTGATCTGAGATATGTGTTTGAACACTTCATTTTTGGGCCATTTATCCACAATTTAAATGATTATTTTGGAATAACAGAGTGAGGGTGAGCAAATAATCTGATATTTTGAACACAAGTTACTTGTCAAGATTTTTATCAAATGGTACAAAAAAAATCTTGAAAATTGTATTTTGAATGTAAAAAAACAAACAAACAAAACCGATTTAAGTCCCTTTAAGAGACAGCACCTTAAGGTAGTGACAAAAGCAGCTAACAGTTCTAGACTGTTCATCTTCATGAAGCAAAATGTTTACACATTTATGTTTATATATATATATATATTATTATATGCTGAACAGAAAAGGTATTTCTAGATATATTCTCTTAGTACACAAAATACATTTTTATATGAAATCCATGCAATGAACAACCATAATAGCTCAAAAAAAACATTTGAAAATTCATCATTCGTTATTGTGAAAATATTCTGCAATTTGTCAAAGACCACTTTCGAGAAGTGATAAAAAATCTCCCAGATCCAGACATTTTTTTGGTAGTTGATATCCATAAGGTTTTCTTACAAAAATCACAGACATAAAAGAGTGTTAAGCAAATTAACTGGTGTGATATGCTATAAAAGAATCTAAAAAAAAAATTTAAATGTACAATCACGTTTTAATATTCTTATGGTCGTATGAGTTTTGGCATGGTGTGTCTCACATTATTTAACGCACATGAACAAACAAATGGTACTGTAAGCTGATATACTATCCTATCAAATAAAATATACATATTATTACAGGTATATAATTATTCATACACTATACAGAAAGCAAATAAGTCTATATTAAAGATATCTACTTTTTTCTTTCTCTAAAAAATAAACAACATAACAAATGAGATCATAGAGTAAACTAGCAAATAAATAAAGAAGATATAATAATAAAATAATAAAACTACAAGCCTTTAATCATACTAGTACACGCTTGCACTGTTCAATATATAGTCGGTACATATTTTGAAATTTGCCCTAAAAAATCATGAATGTTTTTGTCCCGATTGAATGATGGACAAGTCCTGATTTAAGATATTTAGCGGGGCAATGGTTTTCAGCCAGAGAGAAAAGTTCAGGTAAGAAAATAAATTCTGATTAGATTTTTACAAATTATTTTAATGATTTTTTTTTCTTTGGTCATGAATATAGCTTAAATAAGACACACAATAACAGTATAGTGGCAAAGTGGTTGACTTGTCAGACTAGTAGTGCTAGCCAAATTAGTTCAAACCTTGTTAGGGACAAGCCGCTGTTGCCAGAAAATTAACACTCATTGTTCAGTATTGGTTTGTTCCAGGCATGCATTAAACAGTGTGTCTATAAGCTTACAGCTTCCTTCTCAATCAAACTAAAATGAGCCGTGTCACGACAAAACCAGCATAATGGGTTTGCGACCAGCATGGATCCAGACCAGCCTGCGCGTCCGCGCAGTCTGATCAGGATCCATGCTGTTCGCTATCAGTTTCTCGACTTGTAAAAGGGTTGGTAAGCGAACAGCATGGATCCTGATCAGACTGCGCCGATGCGCAGGCTGGTCTGGATCCATGCTGGTCGCAAAACCATTATGTTGGTTTTGTTGTGACACAGCTCAAATATATTCTGTATAAACTAATGACAGTATTGCATACAATGGTAAATAGGGGTACATGTATTATTTATAAATCATAATTTCAGTATATAGCCTTAACAATTTAATAAAATAATCATCAATAATTTCAGTGTATAGCCTTTATGATTTTATAAAAATAAAAAATCCTAGCTTAAACTAGAACTGTGTCCAAAGGACACGGATGCCCCCACTGCAACATATATATGGTATATAGTGAAAAAATCAACAAAGGGCCATAATTCTGTTAAATTTGGTCGCAGCAAAAATTCCTTCCTTTACTTTCATCTACACATTAAGGTTGTTCATCCCTGGAAGTTTAAGCAAAATCTGCCATCCGGTTTAAGAGGAGTTGCGTTCACAAAATTTCTATATTGTATATAGTGAAAAAATCAACAAAGGGCCATAATTCTGTTAAATTTGGTCATAGCAAAAATTCCTACCTTAACTACCATCTACACATTAAGGTTGTTCATCCCTGGAAGTTTAAACAAAATCTGCCATCCGGTTTAAGAGGAGTTGTGTTCACAAGATTTCGGGACGTACAGACGGACAGATGGATGGACAGACGTACGGACGGACAAGTGCAACGCTATATGCTCCCACTTTGTGGGAGCATAAAAAGTGCCATTTCTTTGACAATTAAGACATTCCTTTAAAACAAAAGCACCTGTACTTTTATTTAAATATCTGTAAATTACAAATACAGGTATTTCAACCATACATCTCTGGAAGCCTATTTTAATCATTCACACAATCTGTCTAAACTGTAAAGAGGTCTAAGTAACAAAATTCGGATAGAGTCTACTTTAGTGAACCCCAGAAATAATCAAGTGTGTAATTATGCCTTTATTATGTAACAATGTGTTATTCTCAGTTTTGTTTTCGGTAAAAGAAATAAATATGTAAAACAGGGGGGTATGTGGTGTCAGCAGCCTGCATTAAGTGAGCATGCACATATTGTTTATATTCAGGGGTCCGCTATACTAGATGCGATCTCAAACTTTGACAATGACAACATAGCATGTAAAAACTGAATCAATTAAATGCCGAAACGAAATGAAAATACTTTGATAATAATAACTGTAGAATTTTGATTACAATTCCAAATACAAATGTATTATACAGTAATAAAAAAAATATGTATAAATAAATATAATACTATCTAAAATGTAGTGACAGTGTAGTTGTTAGTAACAATCACATAAAAGTCTATTGTGAAAAAATTTCAAACGTGACAAAGGTCAACATGTTGATAACCCTTAGCCTGCTGAGACCAAAATAACTAGCTTTTGCCACCAGTATAGAGCCAGGCCAGCCTACAAACCAGTGCAGTCTGTCCAGGCTTACACTATACTGCTGGTAGCTTAATTTTAAAATCACTTAAAGGCCCATTATGCCTCAGAATTGCTTCTCAAAAGCTTTATATTTTATATGTACTTCTTTAATTCCAAAAAAGTTACTCATTTGTTTTAAAAAATAAGCTTAACCATATTTTTTACCTGTTGTCCTTTGGCAATTAGTACAGTTATAGTGATTTAGTATTTTGTATGAAGTCAAAATACTACTTTATTTATATAATGCTTCTTTTATGACAAATCATTTCAATCACTACTTTCTTCAGGTTACAAGCATCTAACATGCTCTTAAATCATTATTTAAACCTTGTAAAATTCACATTTGCCTTTCCTTAAGAAGTTAAAATTTATTCCTTCCTGAGGCATAATGGGCCTTTAAACTTCAAATGGACTGTCACAGATTCAAAGCTGGACAAATCCATTTCACACAACCAGCAGGTAATGGGTTATTTAGTTAGTTATACATTGCGCTGTAAGAAATTGTACAAAAGGTAAAAAATACAAAACAACTTAGTGCATAAAATATCAAACAAGAGGGCCATGATGGCCCTGAGGTCGCTCACCTGTATAAAGGCACCCGGAACGGGGCCAGTTTAAACCCCCAGGGCTTGGAAGACACCTATTAGAAGATGTTTCGTGATGTTAAGTTTTTACTACACACATATAATGAAAAACAACGATCTATCACCCCCCTCCCTACCCCACCCGGCAGGGCCAATTTTAATCCAAGGGCTTTTATTTGAACAAACTTGGTAGACACCCATAAGAAGATGTTTCATGCTAAACATCTAAGCGCTAGCTCATTGGGTTTTTTAAAAGAAGTTTTTTTAAGTTTTTACTATACACATATAGTTAAAAAAATGACACCCCTGGGGCCGGGCCAATTTTGACCCCAGGGCTTTTATTTGAACAAACTTTGTAGACACTCACTAGAAGATGTTTCATGCTTAATATCTAAACTCCAGCTATTTGGGTTTTTTCAAAGAAGATTTTTTTTAGTTTTTGCTATACACATATAAGGAAAATCAATGACCCCCGGGGCGGGCCCAATTTTGACCCCGAGGCTTTTATTTGAACAAACTTATTAGACACCCATTAGAACATGTTTCATGCTAAATATCTTAGCTCTAGCTCTTTGAGTTCTTTAATAGAAGATTTTTTAAGTTTTTACTATATGCATATAGGGAAAATCAATGACCCCCTGGGGTGGGGCCAATTTTGACCCAAGGGCTTTTATTTGAACAAACTTGGTAGACACTCACTAGAAGATGTTCCATGCTTAATATCTAAACTCTAGCTATTTGGGTTTTTTCAAAGAAGATTTTTTAAGTTTTTGCTATACACATATAAGGAAAATCAATGACCCCGGGACGGGCCAATTTTGACCCCAGGGCTTTTATTTGAACAAACTTTGTAGACAACCATTAGAACATGTTTCATGCTAAAGATCTTAGCTCTAGCTCTTTGAGTTCTTTAAAAGAAGATTTTTTAAAGTTTTTACTATATGCATATAGGGAAAATCAATGACCCCCTGGGGCGGGGCTAATTTTGATCCCAGGGCTTTTATTTGAACAAACTTGGTAGACACTCATTAGAAGATGTTTCATGCTAAATATCTTAGCTCTAGCTCTTTGGGTTCTTTAAAAGAAGATTTTTTAAGTTTTTACTATATGCATATAGGGAAAATCAAAGACCCCCTGGGGCGGGGCCAATTTTGACCCCAGGGCTTTTATTTGAACAAACTTGGTAGACACTTATTAGAAGATGTTTCATGCCAAATATCTAAGCTCTAGCTCTTAGGGTTTTTTAAAAGAAGATATTTAAAGTTTTTTCTTTCGGTTGCCATGGCAACCAGAGTTCTGCATGGAATTAAATTCTTTGAACAATTTTTAAAGGTGACCACCAAAGGAACATTCCTGTGAAGTTTGGATGAAATTGGCTTAGTGGTTTATGAGGAGATGTCATTTAAAGTAAAAGTTTACGGACGGACGGACGCCGGACGGACGGACGCCGGACGAAAAGCGATCACAAAAGCTCACCCTGTCACTTTGTGACAGGTGAGCTAAAAACAATGCTTAATAAAACAATTACAGATTTCATATAACTATAGGTATGTAAAATTATAAAAGAAACAATTTATTCATGATTTACAAAGCAAAACATGGAAAATATTTATTTCTTACTCTCTCTCTCTTTAACAAAATGGTAATATTAACAAAGAAGTATCTATCTTAGAAAAAAAAACAAATCAAGAGCACATCAATACAGATCGAATTTATTTCAATAACTCTTTTGCTGCTTACTGGCAAAGATGAAAACCTCCATGTTTTTAATATCATTGGTCACTTCTTACGGACAATGCTCTAAATGTAAAGATCTTAGCTTGCCTCATAACTTTATGTCACAAATAGACAAAACTATAAGGAAACTCTAACAAATAAGAAAAGATACAATTAATGGAAACCTTGCATTGAAATATTTGTTAATGCACAAAAAAGGTGCATTAGCGCAAGTTCTTGGAAAAAAGAATACAAAATGTATGTCTAATTCTCATTTTGTTATTTATTTTTCGTATGAAAAAAAATGATTTCAACATGTTTTACGTGTGATCATGCAATGTCACCTGACAGTTATGTTTTGATAATGAACTTACTGGGGCCGTCACAGCAATCAGCTATTTTTTACATGGTGCCCCGAGTCATGCATATCCAAAAACATGCAAAAGAGCGTGCTCGTTTAATTTTATCCATTTATGCAAGGTTTCTTCTAAGTTAATGTATACCTGTGTGCATAGTTTTTATGCAAGAACGCTTACTTTGAAACAATTATTATGTAAATTATAAAATTATTAACTAATTCAATTATTAACATCATAAAGTAAAGCTCTGACATAAATCACATGTTATACAGGTATAATAGTAAATATTTCTCAATTATGTACCAATAAATATTGCCAGAGTCACATCAAGGCAAATTTCTATAGTTTATTTCTATAATTATTATGATTCTGTATTCGGGCTGTGGTTATTATTAACACAAACTATATTAACTCTACACTGTAAAGGTAATGTGGTGATTTTCCTACTGGTGATTTATAGTGGAGGAGGAAGACTTCAAGTGGCCCTTTATACATTATTTCAGGCACAAAAGGGGAACCACCAAACATCTGTAAGCCAGCTGGGTAACGTTCTCAAACAATATCAATCAGAATTCCTGGCCAGATCACAGCAGTATTGGGCATTATTTGTATTTTGACAGCATCTCAGTCAATAAGATTTAACATTGGGCATTTATATATAAATATTGCCTAAGAATTAGAATACATATGTATAAATAACAAATAAAAATCATTGACTTATTAAGAATATCATTGTCAACAAGTAAAATCATTAACAATTTATAGTAATCAATTGAAGAAACAATATACTTTCCTAATACACATATACACTATTCCTTTTACCATTTGTATAATAGAATTTTCCCAGATTTGAATTTTGAGTTCTAGAGTAGTCCATTTTCAACTCAGGAAGGCATTTTAGTAAAAAAATAGTAAAAGTAAGCTGTCAACCATATCAAGTCATAGACTGTACCTGTGATAAAAGAATGAAGTAACTGCTAACTAGTTTCCTAAAGTTGTAACACACCACTCCATTTGTATATAGGACTGTACGAGAGTTATCATTTCGTATAGCCTTAATAAACAAGTCTAGAATAGGTTAAAAAGTGATTCTATAGAAATCTTTATAACATTTTGGTAAGAAGGTCAAAGCAAGGCTATGTAATATGCCAAAGAATCTAAGTTTCATTTTTTACCATATAACATAATAAAGCTAAATAAATATTGAAAACATCAAAATAATTTCTTATTTTTTCAATAACATCAAAATCATTTCTTATTTTTTCAATAACATCAAAATAATTACTTATTTTTTCAATAAAATCAAAATAATTACTTATTTTTTTCAATAACATCAAAATAATTACTTATTTTTTCAATAACATCAAAATAATTACTTATTTTTTCAAAAACATCAAAATCATAAGTTATTTTTTCATGACTTCACATATCAACTTTACAAAGAGCTCATGATGTTAAAATGTTAAAAAGTGTGAAATATAATCAAATAAGTATTGATTATACAGTATTGAAAACATAATTGAGCCGCCCCATGACAAAACCAACATAATGGGTTTGCGACCAGCATGGATCCAGACCAGCTTGCACATACGCGCAGTTTGATCAGGATCCGTGCTGTTCGCTGACTAACCCTATAACATGTAGAGAAACTGATAGAGAACAGCATGGATCCTGATCAGACTGTGCGGATGCCCAGGCTGGTCTGGATCCATGCTGGTCGCAATCCCATTACGTTGGTTTTGTCATGGCGCGGCTCATACCAATGTCATATAATAAATGCAAGTAATTGGGACTACTGTCTTGTTGACCTTTTACACGTAGATGTCAACCTATAGTATATCACAGAATTATCATTCATATTATACCATAAATAAATATCAAATGAACTTGTGTTTCCTTTTCCAAGACACTTTTAATGAAATGAAGGACCTGGCTACTTTGTCGAGTTATCTCAAAATATTTCCAGCGTTATTGTGACTTCTTCGTGCCATTTTGTTTATTCTCCAGTCCGTAAGATGTTCCATGTTTAACCTCAGAAAATGATATCATCCACTTCATGACCAAAATCACTGAAATAAAAATGATAAGTTAACTATATATACTTGCATAGATTTAGTATAAAGTAATGTATGTATTGTGTTTTGAATATGTATTGTGTTTTAAATATGCATTGTGTATTTTTATAAAAAAATATATTATAGTTTGTGTTTTCATGTATGTGTTTATGAAATTTCACTGTATAACCATGATGTATATTTTGGAAATTATGTTTTTGAGGCCAACATGGAAGATCAAGTAATCAAATGTGTAGCTTCAGCAAATAGTTAATACAAATTTATTTTAATTTGATTGTGTTGGAAGCTATAAGCTTATTGAAACTTTCTCGAGCAATGAATGTAGTTTCATGCTCACAGAATCAACGGCTTGCCCATGGCTGGGTCCGAGCTCATGCTAGCAATCCTTAGATTACTAGTTGCAATCCTTAATTTTCTAGTCTGACACGTTAACCACTCGGCCACGCCGCCGCCTCAGCGAATGAACACTTTACTTACTTACTACCAATATCTGTTCATTTTTTTATTTCATTTGGATAAAGAGAAATTAGCTCAGCTGACAACATGCCAATTTTCTTAAAAACTTTTTCGATACTTTATTGATAAATCTATTCATCAATGATCATAGATATCTTATTCTTGTTTAAGAAATATTGAAAAAGAGCATTTGAAAGTGGAATGATCTACAATGGGCACATTTTCCATAAATATTTCATATCCTAGTGGCTGCCCTTTTGTTATCCCATTTTTAGCTTGTCTGTTTCAAAGTTAAGTAGAGCTATTATAATTGCTGTCATAGTGTCAGCAAAGTTGTCCCTAAATATGATGAATGGTTTTATCCACACTGAACGACGGACAAGTCTAATTAAGATATTTAGCATGGTAACAGGTTAAAATAAAGTGAACACTTACTTGCAGTCACTATGACGATGACTGTCACTTTATGTACAATGGAAGCAGTAAACACTAGATAAACCACATAGTAACACAGTGGTATACATGTTAAACATAACCAGAATATATACCAACACAGGTCATAATAACGCTTCGGAACATCTATAACTGGAAGCCCATTAAATTTTTCAGTCTGTTTGTAATATTCTAAATCATCGTCCTGCAAAATAAGATTTCAATCGGTAATTTGTCAAATCTTGAGGGTATATATACCGAATATATAAACATAAGTAAACAAATACTTAACAATATTAAGTTTATGCAGAATTTATTTAAGTGCAATTGTGTAGAAAGTTGATAGCTTTTAGACATACTTTCGAATCTGTTCCTGGAACCAACCAGTACTGAGCGATAAGTGTAAAGTTTCTTGCTCAAGGGAACAACAGCTTGCCTCAGACAGGGTTTAAATCCATGCGGTAAGCAATCCTTAGATTATTTTACTGTTGTTTTAACTGCTTGGCCATGCCACCACATAACAATATTTACAAAACATAGTACAAAGAATTGTACTAAATGTTGGGGACACGCTTCAGAAATGCTATATATACACAATCAGTATATTTTAAATCTTCACTGGGGGTATAGCCTCTTCACCTTCTATTCCTGCATATCAGACTGACATTTCCGTGAGTTTTACCCATGCCAGAAATTTCATCTGGCATGCCAGATGAGTCGCGTGCTGTACAATGGCACGCTTAGAATGACGTCATTTTACCGTTATGAATGAAGTTGTAATTCATACAATGTTGTAAGAAAGTAGTTACGGTTGTAATGATATAAATTTCCATTGAAATTAAAGATAAAGAATTAAAAATTTAATGGAATATGGTAGAATATGCAAGAAAAAATATCTGACATATGTTTGCGGTTCGGATCGGAATATCCATCCCTCGGTCACCCGCCCATTGGCGGTAACTCGGCAAGCCTCGTTACCCCCCAATGGGCGGGTCACCTCAGGACGGATATTCTGATCCTACACGCAAAATATGACAGATATTATTATTCCAGCAGCTGAAGGTCTGTAATTATCTTTAATCTTTATCAATAACTTACTAAAAATCAATTGTATAAAAACAAACTTTTCATACCTTTTGTTTATAAATCTGTCTCAGCCAGTTACCACACTCTTCCTCATTCTCACAAGGTATGTCATCTATTTTGTATGTTCTAAATATAGAAATACAACATGTTATAAATATCGAAACACACCATGTTCAAAATATAGAAATACAACTACTTGAATATTCTTATGACTATGTCACAGACAATCTGTTTAAAATCAGCTCCTAAAATAACGCTATGCATTAGGATCTGACAACCACCAATAGGTTGTTCACCTTCTTGTGACCTTTCCAACAGCCAATCATCAGTGAGCTTTAACAATTTTGAAAGTGATGCGATTTCTAATTTTAAGCGCTTGAAAACCAATACTTAGTAGGGTTTTTATTTTAATTTTGAGAATTAAAAAAGGCCATGTCAATATAGCCAGCTTGTAAACAGGCAAAACATTCTTGCCAATTAAAAATTGGGTCTATTATTTCCAGTTTATTTGTTTCAAATTACTTCATTGTTTTCTAACAAAAATCAACAATTTTGTTTTACTTTCATTGAGAACAATATTGTGATACTTCATTTAATGCCTTTCTGCAAAGGATGGTTTGATAGCATGGCTAAAAATTGCTAAAACTAGTTTTCTTGGGAAATCTGAATTACAATGAAGGCGAAACAAATATGGTGGCAATCAGATCTTCATGCAAGAAAGAGGTAGATCTGAACTTGAGTCAGATTGATGTCACAGAGATTAAGATTGTGAAAAATGTTTGGATACAAAGCACCAGAAATCTACACTCCTTGATTACTAGTCTGTGATATCCAGTTTTATTATCGGTGATATAACTGGTGATATAACTAGCTACATCTTATATGCTACTTCTCAAACATATAGATGCTTAATATCACCATATAAGTTAAGTGGGAGACATTGATACAGTTGATGCCAGGAAAAATATCCAGAATGCTTAGGGGACATAATTAGTTATACTTAAGTGAATGCTACTGCCTGAAATAATGCTCAAAGGAAAATCCCTGAGGTTCTTCTTAACCAGTAAAGCTTGGAAGATTCCAAACCTTATCAACTAAATGCCTTAACAAGAGCTGTCTATAGAACAGTGTTCTAGACTTTTCTCAGTGCTTACTAGTAATACAAGAGTCTTGAAAATGTAGAATTTTCTTATTTTAAAAACGGACCATAATTCTGTCAAAAACTATTTTAGAATTATGGGCCTTTAGTAGTGACCTCCTTTTATGCTATAAAATAAGTGTGTGAAGTTTTAACCCATTCCCTTCATGCGCTTTGAAATTTATTTATTTTAACTTTTCGTCTATCTTAATGTTTTATAAAGATATCATTTAAAGTAAGGGTTTGAAGAAGAAAAACATATTTTTGAACTTCTTGAATATTGTTAAGATAATGTCACAGAGATTGTGATGAAATTGAGAACAATGTTTGGATACATCGCACTAGAAACCTGCGCTCCTCGATAACTAGTCGGGGATACCCTTGTTACTGTAGGTGATATGTATATAAAACTATATGCTACTTCTTAAACATACAATTTCTTAACATCACCATATAAGCTAAGTAGATGTACTAAATATACTGAATAATTATAAGTAATGTTATTTTTCAGTACAAAAAATTTTGTTATTTTTGTAGTATAAGTAATTTTATTCTAGCAACTCTAATTTCAGCAATTTTGTTCTACCTGATTCCTTTTTTCACATTAATTCTTTTTTCCTGCCACATCACTCATTTTGTCTGAGATTGTTTCTCATAGTTTAAATTTTGTTTTCAATTTTGTAAACAGGTTAAGTAGTTGGTATCAAACACTTATCTGACCATATTGTAACCATATTACTGACAAGCTGTTATGATGAAATGGGAGAACAATGTTTGGATACATCGCACTAGAAATCTCAACTCCATGATTTCTAGTCCGAGATACCCTTATTACTGTAGGTGATATGAATATAACTATATGCAACTTCTTAAACATACAGTTTCGTAACATCACCATATATAGCTACGTAAATTTACTAAATATACTAAATAATACTGTATATCAAGTAATACTTCTGTACAGCAATTTTTTCGCATTTTTTTTGTAGTTATCTTATTCTAGCGAATCATCAGTCAACAATACAATAATACATCAATATCATTTTTATTGATAACGGCTCTATGTAAAGGATAAGTTTACCTTGCTATAATGGCACATCTAATCTTTTTCCCAGAGATAGCGTCCCATAGAGTAGGTTCAGGTTCACTGGCAGGAAATCCAACGGTACAGTCTAAAACTGTAGGTACTGTAAATATATTTATATATCACTTATCTAATTATAACTGCTGTAAACCATGAATCACCTTTCAAAGAGAGAAATGAACTTGTTTATTCCAAAACATTCTGGAAAAGGGGAGATAAAAATATTCAAAGTCTATAAAGGGAGAGAACTGAAGACAAATCAATGCCAAAGCAACGTCACTTGACAAGGTCATGGCCTATACTGGTTATTAAGTGTGTATAACATAAAGCTATTGGTAGCTATAAAAGTTAAGATATCCCATAAACCAACTTGCCAGAATAGGTTAACCATACCTATTTTCAAAATGCTAAAAGGGAATCTACTGAAGAAAATGGATGCCACCAGTTATATAAATTTCAAAGAATATGGATGTAGCATTGTTAAGTTAGTGTATTGATACAGATAAAACTTAAGATACATGTATATTCAATTTGCTGGAATAACTTAGCAACACCTATTTTCAAGAGCTAAAAGGGGGAATTACTGGTGCAAATGGATGGCACAGTTATGTAAATTATATAGCCAATGGTACAGGCAGAACTTAAGATAATGTATATCCAACTTGCATGTTGAGGTACACCTTGTAAAGACAGGTAGTTAATTTCTATATGCTTAGTCATAAAGCAATACATTTAGTGTAACTTTTTGTTATCCTTGTAACTAAAAATCTGACCAAATAGAATTTTGTAATCTATTTTAACAGGATGGCCAAGATGGCCCTAGATCGCTTACTTGACCCATCAAACTCATCCAAGCAATTACTTAGACAAGCATCCTGACCAAGTTTGATGACAATTGAGTCAAAAATGTCACCTCTAGAGTGTTAACAAGGTTTATCGGAATTTGGGCTGTGTGACCTAGTTTTTTGATCCCAGGTGACCCATATTCAAACTTGACCTAGAAATCATAAAAACAAACTTTCAGACCAATTTCCAGGATATTTTGATAACAACAGTAGCATTTAGAGTGTTAACAAGATTTTTTTTATTTTTAGCTTCTGTGACCTAGTTTTTCATCTGAGATGACCCATGTTCAAACTCATCCGAGCAGTTACCAAGACAAGCATCCTGACAAAGTTTGATGATGATTGAGGCGAAAATGTGACCACTAAAGTGTTAACGAACAAATGTGGACAGATGACGGACAATAGACGACGGACATTCAATGATCCTAAAAGGTCACCATGAGCTAGCTCAGTGAGCTAAAATGAATCATTCCTGCAAAGTTTGCTTGGCATTAACCAATAGCTAAATTACATCATGCTTTGTGAGACACACAGACAGACAGACAGACAGACAGACAGACAGACAGACAGACAGACAGACAGACAGACAGACAGACAGACACACAGACAGACAGACAGACAGAAAGCTGGGCAGACAGATATCATTATGTACCCTATCAACCTAAAACAATTAACATTATCATCTTTTTTCACATCTGTTATAAAGACATATATGTATTTATGAAAACTTTAAAGTTTTACTTTTTCCTTTCATCAGCTGCATGGACAAAGTGAATCCTTTTGTCCTAGGCAAGAGCATGTGTTTGTACTCCGGATATCCTTTCTCTTTAGCGATCTTTTGACAAATGGCATGTTTTTTTGGCGTCCATCTTGTTCCCTCAGGAAACAACAGGAGCTATATATAGTAAATAAACAAATGAAATTCATTATTACGATAAACGGTATTAAGCTATATATGTGTAGAGAATAAAATGAAAATATCTAATACAAGAATAGAAAACTGATGATGATAAGAAACCATTATATAAGCAAGGCTTTAGTTAGAAATTTTGAGACTCGGGTCATTGCCAATGCAAGGGGGGAAATTTTGTATAATCTTTAAATGTTTTTCCTTGGAGGGGAATTACAAGGTCTTGCATTAAAACATCAAAAAAAGTGTCATTTATCAAATTCATTGTTTATAATTATATTTATAAATCTGCAGGAAACAGATAGCTGCTTCATCAAAGATAATCAATTTATGTCTAAAATTAATATGTTATGTTTCCTCAATTTCAATATTACCCTGAACATTTTCATCAATGCAACTTACATCTGCTCATTATAATTTTTGAGGGGGATTTTATTTTATGCTGGGTATAGGGGAAAAACAGAGGTAATGGGGCTTTATATAATAATTGACACCAAATTTTGCTAAACAAGAGCCCTGATAAGTCTCAATGGTGCTAAACAAGATTTTAACCCTGAAAAATAGTCAATATGAGTAACAAATAAGCCTGTGAATAAAGGTGAAACTTAATTCAAGCTAAATTCAGTCTACATTCTCAACAACTTGATTTTGTTTTATGATTTTTTAAACATTTTTTCTTCTTTATTTTGTAACAATAAATTCTTTAGAAATTTGAAATAGGGATTATTTCTGCTATATATAAAATAGAAAATCATATTTTTCAACTTTCAAATAAAATGCATTGATAATATATAAACCACAACCAGGGACAAACAATTCATGGTTATTAAAGTCTGATTATCTGTTGAGCTATGGGAAAGTTTGACAATAAATATATTGTATCAAGAATAAACAAACAATACATCAGAATAAACAAAACATGCTGCTATACATACTATATTATACATACTATATAGAATTTTACTTAAAAAAAAAATTTCCCCGCTGATTTCTTGATGCGTAAATTTATATATAAAACACCAAAGTGCACACACAGAATTAAAAGCATGAAGAAACATGAGCTGTCAGATGGACAGCATACTGGACTTTTTCAAGCATTGATTGTAAAACAGCACCCCATATAATGTTAGAATTAACAAAGACCTTTAATTGTAATTCTGAAAACATAAATTAAATTTCATGTTAGTACCATCTGACAGTAGTTTTCTTAAATTCAAAACTTCAAGCAAACATTTTCTATATCTTAACAAAGGTCTAGTCCCACCATTAAAAAAGGTCAAGTCCTCCATATTAACAAAAGGCAAGTCTCCTACATTAACAAAGTTTAAGACATGTCTAAAGCATTAACAAAGGACCATTCCCCTGCAATAATAAAGGACAAGTTCCATATATTAACAAAGGATAACTCCCCTTTTTGAACAAAAAAAAAGTCCCATACATAAACAAAGTGAAGTCCCAAGTTTAAACAAAAGACAAGTCCCCAACATTAACAAAGGACAAGTCCCAATATTTGTTTATTTTCAATGTAAAATTTATTGAACTTGTTGAATAAAACCATATTTTGCTCATCAGAGGCTTGCATAATATGGTTTTATTCAACTCATTCAATAAATTTAATATTGAACCCACACTTATTCAATATCCACTTTATTACGGTGCCACAATATACTGCATACATAAGACATGAATGGATAAATATGAATAAATATAACCCAAAACAACCAAAAATCCATAAAATTTATATTTATAATTCTTTACTGTAATGATGTTGCTGAAACTAATACTACTGACTTAAATAGACTTTACAAGGCCTGTTAACACTCTGCTCATCCGTGGTTTGTGCAATCCTGCCTTGAGTCAAACACATATACAAGTTTTCACAATATACCATATTTTCTGCAGTGACTTTATTTCTGCTTGATAAGATCAGCCGCAGAATTTAAATCACATTTCAGTGTTGCATTTAGGCCGCGCGATTGCGCGATTTGCGCATTTTTTATGCAGATCGCACATTTTAATGAAGTCAATGCGCGCCAAGTCGCGCATCTGACTATCTTTTCAACTTAATTCAGTTTATTTTCATCGTATCTTAAACGCTTCAGCCGTGTTTGTTTTCACTCGTGGTAATGACTAAAATACGTACTAAATCGCGTGTAGCAGCCGACAATGTCATATCGCGTGTGTTTTGTAGTATTCGTCAATATTTTATTTTTTCTACTTCCGTTTTTTAGCGGACGATAGCTGTCAAAAATGCCTGAATGTAAAATAAATGAATTCTATTCGGTATGTCATATTGTAAGGTAAATGTATGTCCCCCAAATTTTTTTCAAATCCCCCACATTTTTCAATTGAGTGGGGGACAATCCCCCATAATTTTGAAATTCTAGATGCAACACTGACGTTTTGTCCAAAGAATGTGCCGCAGAAATATAGACTGCAGAAATAAAAACATACCAAAATTTGGACAAACCGCAGAATTTCGAGCCCGCAGAAAAAACACTTATAAGTATATACCAACAAATGTACAATTATAATAAACCCATCAAATAATACAACTATAAGGTATGTTCATAGAGTTTCTGGCTAACATTATGTAAATATTTTGTATCTTAAACAATATTTTTGTCCTGACAGATACAGAGTTCTGCTGATCAAATTGCACAAGACCTAAACCACCATTTCACCATTTTTTATCAGTTTACAAAAAGTCTTTTTATAGACCCTTTGAATATTGATAATGTTTTATTTATGCCACCTGTATAAAGCCAGGGCCAATATGCTGACAAGGCTTATTTTATTGAACTGATTTCACTTCAATTATGTACAGTTTCAATTTCAAAGTACTGTACTCACTTAAACATTCTGCACATTATATCACATAAAGTAAAAGGTAATCAATTGAAATTTCGAAGCAAAGTAAATGAATATATGACATAGTTTTGACATTACTGTTTGAAGCAACCACTTTGCCCAACACACTAGCTTAGAAGGCATCTATCCTACAACTCCTGTCTGTTTTTGTTCTTGTGAATATTTTACTGTTTACAAATACAAATCACTACTGCACCAGAAACTGTATAAACACACAATGTACATCTTTTTAAAGTCTGATTAAAGAAGCATGCATAAAACATAAAATTATGTAAATATAATTATCATTAACCCTTAACCTGCTGAATTTCTTAATTGGACTTGTCCAGCTTTCATTTTTGGAACAGTCCATTATCAAGTTAAGGGATATCAAGATGAAAATTTAATGTTAGTCAGTAAACAGTTTAAAGCCTAATCAGATTGCACAGAATTTGTCACCTTAAAGCAGTAACAGGTTAACTCCTAGTAAAAATTAAATAGGGAATTAACCTGTTACTACACTAAGATGTCAAACTTAGCGCAGTAACAGGTTAACTCCTATTTAATCATGTAACAAGTTAATCTGTTACTACACTAAGGTGACAAGATGTACAGACTCGTCTGTGGTCTATGGTCTATACTGGCGGCAAGAGCTAGGCACTTTGTGTTTTTTCAGCAGGGTAAGGGTTAAAGGCACATTATGCCTCCGAAATTAATAAATTTTTACTTTTTGAGAAAGGGCAAACACGAATTTTATAATGTTTAAATAATGGTTTAAGAGAATGTTAGATGATTGTTACCTGAAAAAATAGAGGTCTATATAAAATATTTGTTATCAAAGTAGCAAAATGTAAACAAAGTAGTATTTTGACTTCCATACAAAATACTTATTCACTATGATTGTACTTATTGCCAAAACAACAGATGAAAAAGATGATTAAGCTAATTGGCCAATGAATAACACTTTAGATACTACAAAAGAACACCAAAATTAAAAAGCTTTTGAGAAATAAAGACAGAAGCATTTCTGAGGCATAATGGGCCTAAATTTCCCTTACTTATATTCAAATAACATAAATCCTTTACCAAGTAAATGCATATTATGTATATCATTATTTGAAAATATGGCCATGCCATTACAACTCTTTATCAATGATTTCCTTCGTTTTACACACAGATAAAAAGATAACCCTTATATTGCAAGCAGTGTTAATTACTTTGTCACCTGTAGTGAGCCCTGTTCAGCCTGTACATCTATGCTGTCTCATTAGGCTCTGTACCATATGTGTAGAGTAAATCCAGGTAAATATGGGAAAGTTTTACAGGTTTACCAATGTGAAGGACATAAAAGCACGTCACAGACAGAAGTTTTGAAACATGGTACTTTTTGAAAGCTTGATACTCTAGTGTCTGTAATATCCGTTCTGTCCATATTTACCCAGATTGACCCTACTAAATGTAACTCCGTAATTTTATCATTTTCATACTGAAATTTCATATTCACAATTTGGACATGCTAAATACATGAAGTCTGCAATTTAAGGGTTTTCCGTATTTACCTGTATTGAAGTTATAATTGTAGAAACTGACGGACATTTTTTAGCTGTGCAAATCAAACAATCAAATTATTTAAACTGAGAATATAATTATATTGGAAGCTATAAAATTGGGTCAAGGCATAAAAAAGGGTAAATAAAGTAAATAAACTTGGCATAAAAAGAGAAAAGGGAGAAACTTCTTATGTTAACATTTTTTAAAATCCTAATACATACAGACTATTCTTATTTTTATTTATATTCCACCTTTAAAGTGCTACTGTTGATCATGCCTTGCCCTATAAAATCAGCTAATTCTATACTGCTGGCAGATCACTGAGGTACAGTGATATTGAAAAAAGGAGCTATCAGAGACGACATCACATCTAGTTTAACGCTATACCTTTATCAAAGAGCCTTTGCAATCAGTAATGAGTACCGATCCAGGCCAGCCTGTGCATCCATGAGGTCTGGCCTAACTTTTACCGTTTGTAGCTCAATTTTTGTCCTTTGATATTGAAATCCCTTAGTATTTGAATGGACTGTTCCAAATTCCAATTACGTAAATCAATTTAAAAAGTTCAGGAGGTTAAGGGTTAAATCTGGTTAGCAAAGAAAAGTAGTGTTTAATAAACAAGAATAAAAGAAACTTCCATTGTTACAAATATACTGTTGTAATAAATCATAAAAAATAAAATTTCTATGTCCAAACATTAAACATGCATGCATATTAAAAATAATAACAATGAAAAATGAAATATCAATAGAAATACGATTTTGAAATATTAATACCAGACTTACACAGCTTGTCATATGTTATGTAAGAGAAGATAAGAATGACAAGCTTGGATTGGACAAAACTAAATTCTACGCAGGACAAGTCCTTTATACAAATGCAGCTGGGGTACGGAACATTTAAAGAGTTGATAGAATGGCCTATATTTTAAGCATGCAGTGCATTCATCATACAAACTTAGTGATAGCGAAACTCATGCAACACTCATATCTGAAATAAAATCACAAAAATGATCAATCAAAACTGATCCTTTTAATACAACGAAACAAAAGGGTGAATTTCAGCACCTGAAATTAACATTATACTATCTAGTTTTACATTATTACATAAGCTGTGAAACTGGGTTTAATAAACACGGATGCAAACTGAAGCCTTTGGAACTGAATTTAGGATCATGGCAATCAAGAAACTGAAAATTATAAAAGCCAATCATGAATGCAAGCTTTTCCAAAAGTTATGTGACCCCAAAATATTCAAAATCCTTCTGATTCTAGATACAAATTATAAAGAAAATACACAAAAAGACAGTTTTCACAAGACTTTCAATGTTATATCAAAATACTAGTTGAAAGATTTTTATCATCATTGGCTTTTATTCTAGACAGTACATAGCAAAGGTCATTTACACTAAAATAATGAATACAGATTATATTGGATTTTGCAGCATCCATTACAGAAAATATATTGGAAGGTCAACCCTGATGCAAATAAAAAAGCAATACAATGAATATGGATGAACATAACAGAACAATGATGTGTTATAACTCATTAAGCGGTTCATAATACTTCCTTTTATTAAGTATTAATCAGATTGCAGAGTGTTTTGATGTTCTTTCTCTTTTGTATCATAGTCAAACACAAAAACACGTTCCCTGTTGACACAATATGAAACCCCGGGAAAAAGTAACCAATGAACGAGCATCTGAATATGATATTTCTGTCGCTTTCTCTTCTGTCACAATAAGTAAACCCCAGCAAAAATGAGCCAATCAATGGGCATACTCTGGAGTGCGGGTAACTATTACCTGCACTCCAGTTAACGCAATGTGCATGTATATGTATACGATTTAACTCTGACACATTTTCAACAGAAAGGTCCCCAAACTATGATACAATAACATTTAATTGCTATCAATAAATTTGGCAGGTCACTAATTTCCTATATTTCTCAAACATGAAAGCTCACAATATTTCATACATCTCTTATATTATAAAGTTCCCTGGGCGTCAATTTCATACACCTCTTAAAACTAGGATGTTATGTGGCCATCTTTATAACTGAGATGTCAACTGGTTGCAAATTTCATATCTCTTAAACTAGGATATTTCCAGGTAACCTATTTCATACATCTCTTACACTAGGATATTTCCAGGTAACCTATTTCATACATCTCTAATACTAGGATATTTCCAGGTTAACTATTTCATACATCTCTAACACTAGGATATTTCCAGGTTACCAATTTCATACATCTCTTACACTAGGATATTTCCAGGTTACCAATTTCATACATCTCTAACACTAGGATATTTCCAGGTTACCTATTTCATACATCTCTAACACTAGGATATTTTCAGGCTAACAATTTCATATATCTCTTACACTAGGATATTTCCAGGTTACCAATTTCATACATCTCTAACACTAGGATATTTCCAGGTTACCTATTTCATACATCTCTAACACTAGGATGTTTCCAGGTTATTAATTTCATACATCTCTTCACTAAGAAGTTTCCAGGTTATTTCATATATCTCTTACATCAGGATTTAAACTAGGAATAAGGATGTTTCCTTGTCTCCTTTTCTAAACATCTCTTACACTAGGATGTTTACTGGTTTCCTAGGCTACTTAAAACATCTCTTAAACTAGAATATTTTGTGTTCATTAATTTCATAAAGCACATTCAGCCTCAGAAATTACTTTTTTTCTTCTTTCTGTTGGAAGGGAAGATATGCGTTTTTTATATTGTAATAATGGATTTAAAACATGTTGAATGTTTCTCTGGCACTTGAAGAAAAAAAAAGCACTGAATGTTCAACAATTTGTGATAAAGGTGAAAATGGTATTTTGACTTCCACACAAAAAACTAAATCAGGGTAACTGTACTTATTACAATAATGCAAAAGATGCAATCGATGACTCTGCTACATGGCTAATCTTGAACACTTTGGAAACTAAATCAGGACACAAGTAAAACAAGAGCTGTCTGTAGGACAGTACGCTCGACTATTCTAAGTGCTTGATAGTAAAAGAGCCTTGATAATGTTAAATTTTTTAAGTTCACAAAAGGGCTAATTTTTTTTTATAAATTCATGTTATAGGTCTTAGAGAGAGTCTAATTATACAGAATTGGCTTGACTATTTGGAAGGTAATGTCACGAGGGTTTTTTATTGAGTATAATAATACTAATTACCTATGAATACATAAATTTGACAGAAAAGGTACAAAAGCTTGTTATTAAGATGTTTTATCAAGTAAATCACTGCTTTATTATTATGAATGCATAAAATTGCCCCAAAAAAGGCACCAACCCTTCAGTACTTATTGAGATAACAGCTTACAAGCAAAACTTTACCATGAATTTCTAAGTTGAAAAAGGGGAGAAAAATCAGCATAAATGCAAGATAGAATTATGGATCTTTGTCAGTGACCTACAATTATGACCCTAAATGCATATGTGAAGTTTTAAATAAATATCTTTAATAGTTATTGAGATATCATATGTAAAACTTGCATGTAAACATTAACCAAGAGACTAAGTAGAAAAGGGGATATGAATCAGCCTTAATGCAAGATAGAGTTATGGAACTTGGTCAGTGACATACAATTATGCCCCTCCAATTATGACCCTAAGTGCATGTGTAAAATTTCAAGTAAATATCTTTGAAGATTTTTAACCTTTAACCAAAATTTCTAAGTTTCAAAGGGGCAAATAATTCTGCAAATATTGCAGACAGAGTTATGCAATTTTGCAAACTGATGTACATTGTTATTATAAATAAGAATTTTAAATTTCAATTGAATATCTCGAGCAATAATTGAGATATTTGACTTTACAAAAAAACTTTAACCAAAATTTCGAAGTTCCAAAGGGGCATAATTCTGTCAATATGGTAGGCAGAGTTATCCAACTTGTCAATCTGATGTACATTGTTACTATAAATAAGTATTGTTAGTTTCATTTGAATATCTCAAGCAATTATTGAGATATTTGACTTTACAAAAAAAAACTAACCAAAATTTCTAAGTTAAAAAGGGGCATAATTCTGTCAATATTGTAGGCAGAGTTATCCAACTTGTCAATCTGATGTACCTTGTTACTATAAATAACTATTGTAAGTTTCAATTGAATATCTCAAGCAATAATTGAGATATTTGACTTTACAAAAAACTTTAACCAAAATTTCTAAGTTAAAAAGGGGCATAATTCTGTTAAAATTGTAGGCAGAGTTATCCAACTTGTCAATCTGATGTACCTTGTTACTATAAATAAATATTGTAAGTTTAAATTGAATATCTCAAGCAATAATTGAGATATTTGACTTTACAAAAAACTTTAACCAAAATTTCTAAGTTAAAAAGGGGCATAATTCTGTCAATATTGTAGGCAGAGTTATCCAACTTGTCAAGCTGATGTACCTTGTTACTATAAATAACTATTGTAAGTTTCAATTGAATATCTCAAGTAATAATTGAGATATTTGACTTTACAAAAAACTTTAACCAACGCAGACGCCGACGCGGACGCTGACGCCAACGCCGACGCCGGGGCGACTACAATAGCTCTCATATTCTTCGAATAGTCGAGCTAAAAAGAGAGCATTTAGACAATAAAAAGGGGCATTGTCAGGCTTAACGGGCCTTTAAGATCTACTACCATTTAAAAGCAACAACAACAATTTGCAATGAACATAATATAATGTATACTTACAGTTACCCAAAAAGGATCTGGGTAGGTAATAAGTTCTGTGATTGATTTTTCCAGAATTTTCTTATCTTCGTCCCAGCTTCTCTTAAGAAATATACTTTCTGTGAAATACCAGGTCCATCCAAGCACTGGTACATACTTCAATATATCTTTTCCGTAGATTTTTGTATTCTGTCAAAGCAAAAAGAAGTTATTTTAATGATAACAAAGAAATATGTTCAAAATTTACATTTCTATAAATGGTTATTAAGTTTGCATAATTGTTTATTGTTTAATTAACATGGGTGAAGTAAGAGATCAAAAATTTGACATAGTTATTGTGAAGTACTGATATTTTTCCATCACAATGAAATACTTTTATTATTTATTTATCTTTATAATGCAAAAAAGTATGACCACATAAACTTCTTATTTTGCTGTTAGCTAATTTGTCACTTGAAGCAAAATTCATAAATACCAAAAATCAGTTTAATAGGCTTAGAACAGTTCATTAACATATGCTTTGAAGATGGTCAAATGTATCTATGTATTACATAATGTATGCACTAAAATTTATTTTAAAAGATTAATATTATTCACATAACTGAACTTAAAATGTAGAAACTAATTAACAATAATAAACTTATCAATACAAAATTGAACAAAAATGAAAAAAATTTGATGGTCACAAATTTACCTAAGTCTGTATAACAGTACTTTTAACTCTGGAAACAAATAATACAATTGTCTATTGTACACAGCTTGTCAGTCTCAAGTTATGTCAACCTTTTTTATATTTTTTGGGGGGTCTTAATCTTTTACCTCATAAAGCCCCTTCCAATATACTGCATTATAACCCATATCACAGTAGCCAGATAGATAATCAATAATCAATATCCTACTGATAAGGAGTCACACATTCTCTCCATATAGGGTATGATAAAATATAGGTAAACAAGACAAGTGTGGGTAAATTATTTAACAAAAACTGTGCAGTATAAATATTAATATTCAACTAACAAGTTGATCAATGGAACAAAATAGTATGGAAGATGCCTGGAATAGCTTTCCAGATGACATTTTTACCTCAGCAGATCAAAACTAAATGATATCATATTACAATAGGATATGTTGTGACAGATCAGTATTACATTTATAAAGGATTAACTTTGTTTGTTTGTTTGTTTGTTTGTTTGAGTGTAAGATACAGACATACATATTTCACTGTAAGAGTGTACACCAGATGTAACATTTTCCCCAAGCTGTGTACAAGTGAAAACATCCTTGTCTTAACAAGTGAAAAAAAAATTGATTTTAAATGTAAATTTGAACAAATATTCTATTTATTTCAACTTTTTCAAGTTTTATTTTAATGACTCAGTGATTTTTTTACAAATTCATCAGTGTGAGTCCTAGGACTCGCTGGACTATAAATCTATGAGTCCCAAATTTAACTGCCAAGTCCCAGTAATTTTGCTTTAGTGATATGAAAGGTATATTAAAGGCACATTATACCTCAGACATGAATTTTTTTAATTCTTTAGAAAATTTAATGTCAAATATGTGTTTAGAAATAGATTAAGTGCATGTTAGATGTTTTACAACTAAAAAAAGTGGCGCTCATAACATTCAGTTATGTGTCGTAAATGTAGCAAAATGTCAACAAAGTAGTATTTTGACTTCCATACAAAATACTAATTCACTATAATTATACCAACTCCCAACAGAACTAAAGATGTGAAAGATAATTCATGTATATTTGCTATGAGAATGCTTTTGTAACTGAAATATGAACAGTTTTTGAGATATAAGATTTGAAAGCATTTCTGAGGCATAATGGGCCTTTAACAATGGAATGGAAAAAAAATGAATTTGACTTATAAATTTATAACAATGCTTCATCAGATACTGAAATAATCCAAAATTGTCATAAGGTTATTTCCATTATTTTAGTTTGATATTAATCAAAACTTCACTCTCCTTAATAGTTTTATGCTTATCTATATTAGTTTTATTACAGCACTTTTTTCTTTCTTACCTGTAGTAAATTGGAAGACCTAGAATATCAAATGAACAAATAAGTGATGTTTTTTTTCTTATTTTAACTGTACTGAATATTAGATGGTCGTATGGGTTCACATTTCTAGTATAAAATTCACATTCCTTACCAATTAAGCAGGTAATTATGTTTGTTGTCCTTATTTTTTTTCGTATAATTTTCAGAACTATCAATTTGTTGTTGCATTGTTTTAATTTGTTTATATAAATGATACACTTGCCAGTGATACATTCAAACCAAATGTAAAACTTCTAAAAAAATCTTGTTGATTCGCAGTTTTTTTTTAATGTGCAGTTTAATCGAGTTAATGCTCTCAATGTCAACAATATGCCCTCCCCCCCTGCCCCAGATACCAGGGACTCACAGTTATAAATAACCTCTGAAAAGGCTGAGCTATTATCGTATAGGTATTATTGATAGTTAAATTAAAAGTAAATTTACAAAAAAAAACCTGAATCAGAATGTATTTAAATGATTAAAAAAAATCAGAATGATACTGGAAAGTTGTCATCGAGCGGGTCAAATTACTAGAATATATTCCGTTAAAGTTGACATTCCAAATAAGCGCTACACAAATAAAATGTTTACAAGCATACAGTGAGCCTTTAATGGTAAAAACAATGTTCTTTAATGGTAAAAACAATGTTAATTATTAGCAAAAACATTTACTGTCATCAGATTGACATAATTTGAACACAATTTGGTATTTATTACCAGATTCCTGTCAGACAGGACTCCCTACTCAGAAAATGCATGTGTCCAAAAGATGCACATTATTTGAAACTTTGCGTCCACAAATTCATTGGGTTCTAACGCAGGACTCAGAGGTAAAAAAATCACTGTGACTCTTACATATCATTACTGTTTTAAACTACTTAAGGTTTTAGTATCAAATACTAATAATGACATCATCAAATCATGATGTCGAAATCATGTTAAAGTTGAAAAAATATAAATCAATTCAATAAAGATTCTTGATTTTTGTTACAATTCAACATGTAAGTGTAATGTATGTTTACTTGCAATTATCATGTACATTTTTACTTATAATATATGTTTCTGCTAAAACCTATAATCATTAATGATATATGCTACTTTACCACATTCAAATATATTTAAGCTACAGTGAAATGATATAAGATATTTCACTGTGAAATTATTATAATCTACCAAAAATGCATATAAAAATATACAAGAGCTGTCCGTAAGACAGCGCGCTCGACTTTTTTATTGCTTGCCAATAAAAAAAGTTTTTGCAGTAAAAGGCAATACAAGAACCAAGATTCTAAGTCGATAAAAGGCCTTAATTTTTAAAACAAATCCTTGACAGAGTTACCTTCTCTTGCGTACAGATGGGGGTAATGATGTGAAATAGCATTAAAAGTTTCAAAGCAATATCTCAAAGGGTTAAGGCAATAAGTGGATTTTACCCATATTCAATGTATTTTCTAAGTCAAAAAGGGGCATAATTCTGTCAAAAACCTTGACAGAGTTATGTCCTCTTGTCTGTTGATGAAGGTCGTGATGGTAAACAAGTATGGTCAGTTTCAAAGCAATACCTCAAATGGTTTTGAAATAAAGTGAGGTGGTACAAAAAACTTAACCAAGCTCAATACACTTTCTAAGTCAAAAAAGGGCCATAATTCTGTCAAAAACCTTGACAGAGTTATGTACTCTTGTCTGTAGATGGAGGTTATGATGGTGAACAAGTATGGTAAGTTTCAAAGCCATACTTGTAATACTTCTGAAATAAAGTGGGGTGGTACGAAAAACTTAACCAAGGTGTGACGCCGACGCCGACGACGACGCCGACGCCGGGGCGAGTAGGATAGCTCCCCTTTTCATAGAAAAGTCGAGCTAAAAATGCATGTTGCCAATTTATAAATCTGAAAATTTACTGACAATTTGTGTATTAGCAGTATTTCCTTACCCCCAGCATACCATGTCTCTCGGCCATCATCCATGCCATAAGCCAGTCTATCTCATATGTGTGGTTTACCATACAAACAGAATGAGACTTGCCGAGTCGTTTCTGATCTTCAGGTGATATATATAACTTACAATCTGCTCTAACCCACCAATGAGCTAGGAAGGAAAACTCTACAAAAAGAAGAAAAACAACTTTTTCACCACATAAAAAACATTGGATTTAATTCCTTGTGTGGTTGTTACTGTCAGCACTTTACAAAATGCAAAATCAGTAATATTTCAATGTGGGGAACTAATTTTCATGGTTTTCGTGGGATTGGTCATTCTGTGAATCTAAGATCCAATGAAATTTCATTTGGTCTGCCCTAAGATTAATTTGCATCACATAATTTACATTTTACGTTAAGGAAAAATAAACAGTCCATTACCTTTTGGAAAAATAAACAGTCCACAAATTTAAGAACCCACAAAAATGTTCTTTGTGATCAATCCACAAAATTTCATGCCCACAAAATTAATATGTGAATTCACAATAAGAAAGGAAAAATTTCACTATTTCACTAATCAGATACCAGTTTTAAATGTATTTTTAATCAAAATAAAGATACTATAGGAAACTGTCGCTCCACTACCCTTTGTAGCAAAAAGTAACGGAGCAAAAATGATAATCAATCTGTTTTTTATGAGACTAATAAGAAAGCAAACTTACGACTCCATAATGCATACGATAGGAAGTAGGCATATTTTCTGTACAGTGTTTTGTTGAATGGTCTTATCACAACACCAACCAGCATAAGAAAACTGACCAGGAAACCACTTGCCATGAAAATGTATCCCATCAACAGATGAACTATCGTCAAACTTTTAAACCATGACCACAAACCCATTGTGTAACCTGCAAATAATTATCACAAAAAATTAAAGAAGACTTATAGAAATAAGATGGTACATCAGTCTGAACCTTAAATGAGAACAAGTAGATCTTATATCATAAATTTATCAGGTAAGACAATATTTTTTTAAAGAATTATCTTTTAGTTGCAATATAGAAAAATAAAATAATAAAGTAAGTACATCGTGCCACTAAAAATGAATTATTTAATCTGATATTGATCATAAATGAGCCATAAGAAGGTTATTTTTAAAATAAAAAAAAATAGCACTTTCAAATTTTTCAATAAACAAACACCATTCTTTGCATATCAATTGATCTTACTTTAGTTTTATTGCAAATCATGTAGAAAATTCCATATTGATATTTCTTGCCATTTTTTGAAAGTACAAGCTATAATGTTTAGCAAGTACAGCCCCTTAACATACAATTTTAAATTCCCAGACACTTAAGACAAGCAATGAACACTGTGCAGTCTTAATAAAAATGTAAACTGTAGTCATTTTAGTGTTTGAAAAAAAATTGTCTTCATGTTCAAATAAATTTCTTTCTTTTTTTAAAGAAAAGGTAATTTTTACAATTACGTACATGACATGATTATTACCACCCAAGCAGCATGTCTTGTTATCTATCTATCTCTGAGTACTGCCAACCCCTCTCGCGAGTGTTAAAGGCGAGTGTTTATTATGTTTATAAATTAATTAATTGTCGCTAGATTTTCATCATTATATACCCTGATCCTAAGGTCTCATTTCCCAGAGCTAAATCAGTAATATACTGGAAAATGATGTTTAAAGCAGACTAGCAGATATAACCTCTGGCAAATTATCACAAATATGAAAGAAACATTTGTTCAGGCAAGAACCATTTATTTATATTGAAAGAATTTTTGTTTCAATCCTTTTGCTAATCGTGTATTATATTCATGATAAACTGTTATACATGTCTACAAAAAGAGCACTAAAATATATTTAAATCAAATCTAGTGGCGAAACATGTGATAGGCGAATGGTAGTCGGGGCGAATCTATATTATAATCTGTTTTGACATGTTCGGTCCAATGCAATCACTTATTTTGTAATCGCAAGATAAAATAAACTCTAACTTGTATTAAAAAACTTCCATTAATATCATTGCTTTGGATAACTTACGAGTTATACCGTGGCGTATTATGTTTCAAAGGTTGAACTAAAATATAAACTTAGTTGTTGTTGTTGCTGTGCTAGATAAATGACGAAAAATATTGTTTTGCGAAAATTCGTAAAAAACGGAAAGGTCAGAAAAATGTACAGGTAATGGCTTTAAAGGAGCTCTACTAAGGCCAAAAATCCTTTAAATATGAATTTGAAATTACAACATAGATTAAGCCAGAGTCTTTTAATTATTCAAAAGACCCTGATCAAGTGAAGCACATAAAATAAAAAAGTATGGAACGGATGATAAAAACATAGATCTACTTAGAATTGAATTGAATATCGATTTTTAAGCAATTCTCACAGGCACGAGTATCGGACCTGGGAAGAAAATATGACCACATTGTTAAAAAAAAAAACCTCTGTGTTCGTCTTAAATGTGTCAAAACCAAAAAAAGACAGAAATATGAGCCACAATAAGTTAACTTATAGTATCTTTAAGGGGGGCTCATATACTTCAATATTATTTATTTTTTATCAATGTGGTCATATTTTCTTCCCATGTCCGATACTCGTGCCTGTGGCAATACTTAGCCCGAATTTGGACGTTTTGCTAAATCTAAAATAATTATTCTGGAATGATCTGAAAATTTGCCCACAAGTCATTTAACAAGACCTTCATCTAATGGTAGTCAAATCTCGTAAAACATTTTCAGTCAGCTATGTCAAAAAACCTTATCGTAGTCCATTTAAAAAAAGGGGGTGTCAAAAGATATTGATTATTTACTCTGAAGATGTGCGGTTTTATTTGAGAATTATGATCAATTTGACCTATAAAATATGTCTTTAAAATGGCTGAAAAAATAAGGTTTTGCAGCTCTGTGCGGGTCCAAAAAAATCAGTTTTGTACTCAACAATATATACAATTATAAATAGGGACAAAAGTTTTGTTTGTTATGAAATCTTTATTTCACAACACCGATTTTAAGGACGTTGCACTTTTCATTATTCCTCTTGTACACACTCAATCAAACCGACTCTGCAATTTGTATGTAATTTTGCTGTTTTTAATGCTTCCGAGGGATCACTTTTTCCCCAGATATTTACAGAACTTTGTTTCTTGGAGTACGATAAGAATTTGATATATTTTTTACGTATGAAATTTTCATGACGCTTAAAGATTACAACAGTGGTTTGATGTTGATTTTTGGACGATGAAATTGTTCAAAACGTGTGGTACGAGATGTCATGCGCAATAACTTAAAAAAATGTACTTCATTTTTTATCTCGTTCCCATGACTTAGTAATTCGTTCCTACAGAATACTAATTAAGTCTTTCCCTTGAGTTAGTATCTCGTGCGAAGGGAAATACTTACCGTAGTAACTCGAGGGAACGAGCTAGATTTTTTTTAAAGCGAAGCGAATCTTATATTTTTTCAAAAACGGTGTGCGTATCACCTCTGCACCACCGTTAAAACAAAACTATAGATATGGTGACTAATAATGATTTGATATGGACCTTTTTTGGACTTGGAAAATGAAAATGAAGTAAACTGTAGTACGATTGGATCCAATGATTATGATCATATGTGCAAGTGCTGGAAGATCATTGGCTACATTTTATTAGTATTTTTTGTGTGTGTTTTTTTTTTATTGCGGTGGGCGTTGGATTGCTGTTGATGTTTTTTGTTTTGTTTTTTTTTTTATTTATGTATGTACCCAGATACGATATTTATGCTTAATTTTATAGTTTAATGTATCAATTTCAACAAAAAATTATGATATATAAGATGCACGGATTTTTCCTTCTTCAAAGATTGAAATGAATCTTTCTAAAAATATTTAAAATAAAATGTGAAAAAATGTATTCAAAAGATGCTGTTATTTACATATCTACTGTTAATGCCTTTTACATCACAATAACCCAAATATTGTTTCTACAGTTTTTCAATTTACAATTGAATTTTCATTGAATTTATTGTTAAAAATTGTGCCACTGAGAGGAAAACTAATTTAATGTTATGTGATTTAATGTAAATTTGTAGAATGTATTAGAAAGTATCTAGATGTTCTCATACAACACACGTGACGTTAAATTGCATGAAGTATGCAAAAATAAAGTGATTAATTTTTATTTATGTCACGATAAAACGAAGTAAAAAATATATTTCTGCATAATTTTACATGTTTACATTGGTTTTCTATGGGTTCTTTACTAATTGTCACTAAAAAAAGGTTGAATTAGGGACATTATATTAAGGGCAGATAAATTATTACAATGTATGTTGCTGGTAAAATCACTTTGTATACGTGGCTAAAGAATCATTAAAAAAAATTAACTCAATAATGTTAAAATTTTAATGAAATTTTAAAACCACCTTGAGTTGCATCATGTATTTTTTTTTTTATTTATGATTTATGATTTTCTCTGATCACAGAACAATACGTGTATCTCTAGATTCCGTGTGTCTTAAAAATTTACATACTTTACTATTTCTAAAAATGTACACTTTCATTTGTTTGGAAAAAAATGAGAGAATGCAAAAATTCAATTTTCATAAAAAAGAAATTAAAGATCCTGTATGTTGTAATTGACGTTGTATACCACACTTAAGTGAAATTATATAGAATAAGATGTATATAATTCAATTATGCTTAAAACAATTTTCAAACATCGAAGAATATGTAAAATATGTACTGCAAATATTTGTACATATTATATGTAATCATTAAAATATATGCATTAATTTCTTATTGAAACATTTGACCACGGATTTATATGTAATAATGTAAATCCTTGATTTGACTTAGACTTTATAGAAAATAAATTTTTATTACCTCCCTTTATTTACATGAAATGTTAAATTCGGTAATATCTTTATAAATAATGCTTTTTGGAACTTACAAAATTGATAAATCTTAATTTGAGCAACATATTTATGATACAAAACCATAAACATTTTGTGTTCGGGATCTTTAACTGTCTGAAGAAAAACGTAAAATGGCCTTTGGAATTTGAGAGCTTCTTGAAGCCCATGCCAATTTATTGTAGGATGTTCGATTTACCGTGATATGTCTAATGTATCAGATTAAAATCTTAATTACTTTGTGTTTCTGTATTTTAAAACGCGACTTACAAAAAATGCAATATTTCCGTTATTTCATAAAACAAACAAACCGAAAGTGAAAGTAGAAAAGCCCGAGGAATATGGCGCATGCGTACTTGCAAAAATATTAACTTCCTGTTATGTTGTCGGTCAGAGTACAAAATGGGATGTGACTGAAAATTACACTAACATAGTGTTGTTTACATAACAATTAATGCTGTTTTGTGATTAATTTCAATTTTTATAAGCAAACTTTTATAATGGCAGCAGAAATTCTAAATAGCCGACAGATCAAAGCTCTGAAAGAGCACAAATACAGTGCTGAGGGCTCATCCATCTGCGAACCTTTTATGCAAGTTTATTGGAGGTGGTTGGTTGAACAAATACCCAAAACCTGGGCACCAAATACTATAACTCTAGTAGGGTTAATTATAAATGTAGTGTCAACACTTATTCTCATCTTTTACAACTATGATGGAACAAAAGAGGTAAGACTAACTCTGAATTATTTAATTTTCATTAGAAATCTACTGTATAATTTTATTTATTTAAAATATTGACAAACATTTTATGTTGTTTTTATTCTTTTGATCACCACTAATGTTCTATTTTTAAAGTATTTTTGTAAATAATAACATGTATTTAGTGATTCAAGCTTAACCTATCCAGACTTGGTGCTAATGGGCAGAGGTTTGGCAACACATTATTAAGTAGGCCCTTAGCGCCAAGGCTTTTTCATGTATGACGACTGCTGACTGACTTTCGTAAACACAGACATCAATAATATAGCAGTTTGTTATTCAGAATATTGAGACTAACACTAACCCTAACAATTATTGTAGCATTAAACTGTTCAGCTAAGGCTGGCAATGGATAAATATCTAAATTTGGTAAGTTCTAAACCAACAGTATCTTATTTTGATAAACATAACAGAATGAAATGAACAATTTTTTTCATCATTTATAACATTTAGGGGCCTATGTAATTTTGGAGAATTTCCAAGATGTAAAAGGTTAAAGTGCACCCAAATTCTTATTTTCTCAAAATTTTATTCTGGAAGTGGTCAAACCAATTGATGCTCAAAGTAAGATCATTGTAATAAATGATATGGATAAGTGCTCTTTAAAATTATATACCTTCTGGTAGATAACATTTCTATTTTTAAAGTAATCTATGCACTTATTCCTGGAAATGTTTACATTAATAATTCTATTTAACATTATTATATTAAATGATGTTTAAGTACTAGGAGGACTATGAGTCAGTGTAGTTTATGTCTACCTGAATCAATGTTTGGCTTACTGATCTGAACACAGGGGGCCCACACAGTGTTTGGATGGTATATACTGCTTGATTGTGACCTTAAAATGAGATTTTAGTCACAACCTTATAATATGTATATAAATATAGACAAGCTTGTCTATATTTATATACATATTATAAGGTTATGACTAAAATCTCATTTTAAGGTCACTATCAAGCAGTATATACCGTCCAAACACTGTGTGGGCCCCCTGTGGATCTGAAGGCAATGTATTTAGACCTAAATTGGCTAATGTATAAAAAATAAGTTTCCAAAAGTGTTAATCAAATTTAAAAGCAAATACTTTAATAAATATCTTTTTATTAATTGTTTAACTAATTACCAACATTTACCTTTAAATTTAATACTTTTTTTGGCACCAGATATGCAGTAAATTCTGTATCATCCACTTGACTTAGATACTTTGTTTCTTTGACTTACCATGCAAAACATGATGTTTCTTTTAATTGTAATTATATTATAAATATAATAAATCATGGTTCAGTGGTTTAAGATATTCATTATCATGATATTATAATGTAATAGGGTTGAAAAACAGCTGGTATTTTTTCAAAATGCACATTTTTATTCTGGTACATGTAATAAAGAAAACAATGTGTAAATCATTATAATGATTATTATTGTTTTTTTTTTTTTTTTTTTTTTTTAACCAAACTATAACCTTAAATATTCAAAAAAGTTTCAGAAGAAAATTTGACAGTGGCTGTGTAAAAACTTATATGACATGCATTGTATTTCTCTGATTAAACCCACGGCAATTACTTTTTCCTCATTAAATCTTTGAGTTATCATATACATTTTTTTATAATAGACACACTTGATTAAACTCTAAATGGATTGGGCCAAAGTGTGTCAGATGTGAACTACTTCAATGTTTACAAGTATTTCCTACATAAATCACCCAATCAATAACCTTTAGCTGCTGAATTTCTGAAATGGATTTGCCCTAGTTTGAATTTGGAATAGTCCATTTAAAGTTTAATGGATTTTCAATATTAAATTACATTGTATTAAAATTGAGCTGCCAACTGTATACAATGTAGAGATTAATCTGGTCAGAGTGCACAGATCTGCAGGCTGGCCTGGTTCTATACTGGTGACAAGAAATGGGTTAAATCTTAAGTAAACAAAGTTTAACTCTCAAATATATTTTCGTCAGAGAGAGAAATGTGTTTAAAATTATTTGGTAAGAATATTTTGCTCAGATCAAGATATATTATAATATATCTAGTACTATCATTGTTCAGTGTGTAGCCGAATTTCCAAATTTAAGACAGACAGACAAACAGATGAAAAACTATTTCCACTCAGGGTATTTACAGATATGTAAAATAAATATATTTAGCTGTATAAAGTTCTGAAAAGGTTTGGCAGGTTCTGCTAAATATGAGAAAGCCTTCAAAAGTGTATACATTTAATATTTCAAAGGCATCAGTATCAAGTAGGACAGAGCGCCTGTCACACTAAATGAATTCAATAGGTTAAAGGGTAATCAGATTAAAAAAACAATAACAACACATAATATACATGTATGAAAGAGTGCATCACAAATGAGAAAGTACATTGTCCAATTAACATAGAGTTTTACATTGTATATAGATCCAAATGATAATCAACACAAGTTTTAGTCATATCCTATTGTTATCAAGTGTGAGCACTCAATGACATCTCAATGTTTGTTTACAAATAAGTTATATACATGTATACAAATAATACATTGTATTGTTTAGATGGTGAGAGGCGGGAAAAAACTTATGTTGTAAAGAAAACTGACATTTTTCAAACTGATGATTTTCTGCCATTTTGCGAGAGCAAATCTGAAAAAAAAATACTTTGCCAAGTTAAACATTGACAACATATTGTTTTCTGTGTATACAACTGTATTTTTTATGAATGAGAGATACATGTATTCTCACTAATATTTATGTACATATCATGTTTTGTCTATGTATATATGGTAGTATGGATTGTTTCCTTTTGTGCAAGTCCAGGGCTCTTGTTAGCATTTTGAGACTGTGGCCAGGGTCCATGTAGGGGAGGGGGGAATTTCACATTTTCAAATATTTTTCATTGAAAAGGGAATTTCAACAGAAGAAAATTAATACATTAAAAACAAGCGAAAACAAAGATTCAGTTAACAAATTACTCAACAATATGCTGCTGTCATGAAAATATTTCTGTTATTTCTAATGAAATTGAATAAATCTTTGAAACTTTGTATAAAAATTCAATTTAAAAACGTGATCCCTGATCTATGGCCGTTATTATTATATTCAAGGGGGAATTTTTTCGGTTTCAGGGGAAAAAACACACAATTTTAATGGGGGAATTGGGCCATATTCTGCCCCAAATTTACCGAACGAGAGCCCTGAAGTCTGATTTTAAAAATAAATGGTACATTTTTTTTGGCCTTCCATGTATTTTTCTATTTTTCTGATACAATGCCTCTGTAACCAAGTTGTTATGGTCACTGATTTTGAACCACTTAAACTGCCATGGGTTCGAATCTGTGTCAGTGAATTTGGATTCTTTCTGTTTCATATGAGGAAGCTATCCAGCTGACTTACAAAAGGTTGATGGTTCTGCTCAGGTGCCAACTTGTGCTTGAAAACAATGTATGGAGGGGTACCCACCAGAAAAGCTAGAAATTGTCATAATGACCTTAAAGGTGTCCTTAAAACCCAACAAAAAAACCCATTTATCTGGGCCGACATATATATAACATATTAATTATTGGAATGCATTGTTTTGCAGTCTGTGCTTTGATTTGAATAAAAAGAACAGTACTGTGACCTGTCCGGATCTTTGGAAACATGCAAACTTAAAATTTTAGTAGCTACTTACACATGTTAATTTATACTTGTAGTTATTGTATGAAGTCTTTGGTCTCTTTTATTGTCTGAATGTCATTTATGTAAAAGGTTTTGAGTCTGCTTTCAAAACATTTTTGTTATCTGTAATAATTTTCAGGCTCCAGGCTGGGTATATCTAGGCTGTGCCATTGGATTATTTGTTTATCAGTCTTTAGATGCTATAGATGGGAAACAAGCTAGGAGGACTAAGTCTAACAGTCCACTTGGAGAGCTCTTTGATCATGGCTGTGATTCACTATCTACAGGTACTTGTGTTTTATTTTTATATTAATTTAACATTTTATTTTTTTTTTCATTTTTATATAAACAGTTGTTTGCTATATATAATCAAATTTCCTGGATTATAATAATTTATATTTGGCCATAGGTGTTTAATCTGTCCGAATTTTTTATAAATATATTATATAAACTGGCAGTAAAAGGAGATTCACTGAGCCTGACTGAGGTCCAATTTCCAAAAGCTTAAAAGCATAAAATTGGAAAATTCTACATGCACATTGATCAATTACTGCATTTAAAACTGAAAAATATAGAAAAAAAGATCATTAAGAAATGTAATTAGCGTTAAATTGATAATTAGTTTTATTCTTAGCAAATGATTTGAAATTTTGCGGACAAGTTAATGGAAGTTATTGGTAAAGAGTCACCTAGATAAAATGGTATAAAGGTCTCAAAAAATCGTAAATATTTATATCCCAGGGAAAAGTGATAGATATTTGTTATTTATGTAAAATTGCAGTTTTCATCACTTTTAATATCTTAACCTCCATGCACCATAAAAATATTCAATAGTTTCTGACATAGTATTACATGTAAATAGTCTTGTATATTAGTTTCAAGTTCTTTAATTTAAAAGAAAAAATCATGTCATTATTTTCTTCAACTCTAAATTACCCCTATCCTTTCAATTTTTTCAAACCTAAAAATTAGCGCAACTTTAATACCATGACAACATTAGAGCCAACAATTTACAGCTCCCTCTCTGCTTCAGAGATAGTGATTCTCCCTAATTATTGATCAATATCTTTATGTATTATGCAGGAATTAATAAAGATTTTCACCAAACTTTCGATTAAAGAGACATTGTTTCCTTAAAAAAGACAGAATAATGGGAATTGTCATGCAATCTGTTATCTAGGATGCTTTTAAAACTTGGTGATATTAAATGAGCCGCGTCATGACAAAACCAACATAGTGCGTTTGCGACCTGCATGGATCCAGACCAGCCTGCACATACGCGCAGTCTGATCAGGATCCATGCTGTTTGCTATCAGTTTCTCTACTTGTTATAGGGTTTGTAAGCGAACAGCATGGATCTTGATCAGACTGTGTGGAAGCGCAGGCTGGTCTGGTTCCATGCTGGTCGCAAACCCACTATGTTGGTTTTGTCATGACACGGCTCAAATGGTGAAACTGTGATTAGTGTTTGAAAGTCTTCTTGCAAAGGAAACTAAAATCTGACTTTTCTAAACTTAAAGTTAGTATGCTTTTGACAAAAGACTCTGTCACAGTTGCAAAAACAATTTAAAAAAAAAATAGGATGAGGTCATTTGACAGATCATCCTAACATATAAAATTCAAAACCTGATTAGTTAAGAAAGTATCACCAAATTTATAACAAAATATTTTGAAAGCACATAAATCTTTTTACGTGCTCTGATTTTATGATAAGGTTTGAAACTGTGTGACCATGCCCATGACTGCAAATCAATATCTGGTTACTACAGCGGGTTCAAATCCTGTTTAGGATTTTGGATTCTTTCATGTGAGGCAGTTTTCCAGCTAGTTGCCAGGACTTCTTAGATATTTGCTCACATGGCAATGTACCAGATAAGCTTGAAAGTCCTCATATGACCATTAACAATGCTGTTATGGAGGCTACATTGCCAAGTGATTAACATGTTGGTTTTGTAATCTTAAGATCCCTAGCCGTTCGGGTTCAAATTGACTGAGCCAGGGGCAAGCCATTGTTTCTTTGAGCAGGAAATTTACACTCATTGTTCAGTACTTGTTGGTTCCAGGAACGGAATCAAGACTGTATCTATAAGCTTATGGCTTCCAACACATTTTAATTGGAAAAAAACAACAAATCCTGTGTAAACTAACAGTGCGGTAACATAGTATCGACAATAAAAGTTTTGGGCTAATGATGAATTTCATTTGTCTGTGAATAGAACAATGTTTTCATGTATATTATATGAAAACTTTTCCATTTTAAATATGACGCTTCTGCGTCATAGGAGTTCTATTCTATCTGTTTAATGTACCAGTATGATGAAGATTGATTCAAATACAAGACAAATTAATAGCTGTCAGTAAACTATAACTGAAACAACTAATTCGTATGTTATAACTGGAAACAGCTTGCTACAGTTTACATTGATTATTAATTACGAGCATGTTTAAGTGCTAAATATGACTCCATAAGCTGTTTTGGCTATAGATGTAATTGTTTTACCAGGAGCTCCACTATAAAATGATATTGTTTCATTGTTATATCTTTACGGTACAAATGTAATATCAATTATATGCTTCCCCAAATATGACGTATATGACCTTTCCGGTAAAGGTCTAACATTCCTGAGTATTATGAAAAAAACCAACATATTAACAGTTTAGTATGTAATGTTCAGATCAATATCGGCATGGTATAGATACTAATTTACTCTGTACTTGTAATTGTAATTGTATCTTTCATCTTGTACATATAGTCACTGAATGATTTCCTTCTTGAAAGGACAATTAAGAATTGGCCGTACTAAATAATATAATACTTTAGTCATAACAATATACAATGTAGATGTACTTAGATAAGTAGCTAAATTCCCCTTTGGAGTTTTGCAGAAAATACATATGATGTTGTGGTGTTCGATAAAAAATGTTATTTGCCCAAATTTGACTTTCTGAAATATCAGTGCAGTCACATGACTCAATATTCTATCAGCACTCCTCCTGTCATCTGACTTGATATATTCCATCATCACTCTTTCATGTGCTATACATTTACTGAATATCCAAATATCAACATAAATACAACTGTTCATATGAGTCATGTCACATGTATACATTATATATATAAACATAATTTTATAATTAATGTATATAAGGTTTAAGAATATTATGTCAACTTAATGCCGTAACTGGTTAACTCAGTAATACTATATATTTTAACAGGTTGTTAACTTGTTACTGCACTTAGATGACGATTAGTCTCAATATACAATAACAAAAAGTTTATTGCTGCTGGTAATGGGATAACAATAGTTCAATTATTACCCTTTACACTGTTGGAACTGTAAATGATAAACCTTTTCCATCAGTATTGAGCCAGGCCAGCCTGAACTGCAGTCAGACCAGGCTCTAACTATAAATTTTCATCTTGACATCCCAACAATAATGAATTTATGATAGACAGTTCCATAAATAGATATTGAAATGCTAAGATGCCTGCCTCATAACCCATAACCCATGGACTGTGGGATAGAACCACCTTGTCTCGTTATCTGACACCTGTTAAAGCAGATGTCAAAATAACCTCAAGCTTCCATGCCAATCTTACTCTAATGATTGTTTAAAAAAGTCACCAGTAGTATAGAGTCAGGGCAGACTACAAAGATGTTGAAATTTTAATATGTCATGGCTTAATGCTTGATGGTATAATCCTGCCTTTATGAAAGCAAAGATTCAAACATCAGTTTATTCCTGTTATGATAAAATGGTCTGCAAAATAAGTCTGACAATTGATAAATTTCTTTTTAAAGGGACTTGACTAAGATTTTTCAACATGATGGGACTTGAGATTTGTGTACCAGTTGATGAATGTCTATATCAATAACTTGTGTGCAAAATTCCAGCTCATTCTCTCACCCCATTTTTCCGGAATTATCACTCTAATTGTGCAAAATAACTTAGAAAAGAACAGCGTTGCAACTCTTTTCACTCAAATCCAGGAAAGAATCGTACACCAATCGATTTTCGATTCAATTTTTAATATGTTTCTTTATTATCATTAGCAGATTTTCTATTTTTAGTGCTTTACATGATCTTTGTAAGGTTTTCACGTTTTATGTTTTTAGGCATTGTGACCTTAGTGAAGTTCCTTTTAATTTGTTTGTACATTTCAGTTTTTGTGATGCTGGGGTGTTGTATATCATTGAAGCTAGGAAAGGATCCAATGGTACTACTTTTTGAAATGTGTATGTCAGAGTTCTGTTTTTATATGGCACATTGGCAAACATATGTTACAGGGATTTTAAAGTTTGGAATGTAAGTATTTACATAGAGGAGGTGAGGTATGTTTTCACATATGAACATACCTGCGGATGTTTCAAAATTTTAACAGATCATGTTAAGTGTTCAATTCTGCTGAAGCCAGTGCTAGGGGCTTGAACAGTTGCTTGTATTTACCACTACTGTCAACGAACAGGCTGAATCAAACCGAGCCTGCACCATTTTCAATTTTGACATGTTGGAACTTTCTTTAGGGATTCTGTTTTTCTCTATTTTACATACATGTTTCTTCAGATGTTTATTTCTTGTTTCACAGTCATTCTCTTATGCACCAGTTCTTTTATTTTTTCAAGTTAAGCAGTTCTGTTCTCAAAGTTATTAAACTTTTTTACTGAGATCTGTCTCAGATCTCAGGATTTTAATTAGTTAGTGCATATTCTGTATAAATTTCTGACCAATCAAATACATGAAATAGGAATTTTATTGCTTAGAGCACATTCTATATTGATTTCTGACCAATCGTATACCTGAATTAGGATTTTCATTAGTGCACATTCTATTTAGGTTTCTGACCAATCAAACACATGTACCTTAAATCTGAGTTAGAGCTTGGAAAGCTTTTATAACCTTTGACCCTGGTAATTATGAACATTCTAGCACTATTGTTATTTTGCCTGAGTGTGAGTAGGTTAATAAATATATATTTGTTCATGTCGTACTTCATTGGATTAAAGATATTTTATATTGTGACACCAGGCAAGGTCAGAGGTTAAAATAAGTTGCCAAAGGAGATATCTGAATCTGTTTCTAGAATTGTATACTTAAAATTGTGCTTAATGCCACAACATGACCTTTTCTAGTTTCTGGTATAATATGCCCATTATGTAATTATTTCCTTATACATGTATTGTTTACAAAAACAGATATTTACATAAGGAACACATAATTATGTTTTTGTTATGTACTTAAAACTTAGATCTAAATACATGTATTAGTGTTCTTTTTTCTCATATTCTGTATCTTACAAAATGTAAATATTTATTGCATATACCATCATTAGTGAGTACACATTTCTTGTTACAGGGTTGACGTGACCGAGGGACAATTCACAGTTATTTTTATATATACTTTATGTGCAATATCACCAGGATTTTTTGATAATACTGTAAGTGGTCTTTTGGTCTTACAATTTAATTATTTACCTTCTGGAATTAAAAAAAGAATGTTTGCCATCAGTGTAGAGCCAGGCCAGGCCACACATTCTTAGTCTGACATGACGTCATCATACTGTTGGCTTCTCTCTAGCAATGCATTTGAAATTCATAGAATAACTATTACTTATTCTGAATGTTAAGGACAGGTAAAATTTCCAGATTCAATATTTCGAGGGTAATTCTTGGGGGTAAAAAAACATGTTGTTAGTGTTATTATTTGTTCATTTAGTTATTATAGCTTTATTCATTGATCTTTATATGCAACTAAGGTCTAGCTGAAAATAGCTGATGAATATTTTTGTTAGGGAATGTTTCATTTTTTTTTTGAGTTTTCAAGACTATTCTTTTGTAATTTATGTGTGTTTTAATTACTGAGCCACTTTTTGTAAGGACTGTCTCCAGATTTGACCATAAACATATAAAACCACTATGATTGTAGTATAACAAGTTCTGATTTTTTATGTATTGTAGTATATATTGTAACAGTTTCAGCTTTATACTTCATAACATTCTGTCATTTGATCATGTGTAAAAGCTTATATATAAAATGGCTGAATTTTTTTTATCATTTCAGTTACCAGTGTTTGGTATACCATTGCGTATGATAGCTGTACTTGGTAGTTTGGGACCATCATTATTCTTCATGTTTAAAACTAGTAATCTTATCTTAAAAGGAGGCGTTGGGAAAAATAAATCCACAGTTGCAGTAAGTTGAAATTTATTCATTGATTTTGTTTCTTCTAGATTTTTCAATATTTTGTAGGATAATTTTTTTCACTTCTTCATTTTTGTGTCGCCTCTACGGAGTAGTGGCGACATATAGGGATCACTTCTCTGTCGTCCGTCTGTCCGTCTGTCACAAAACTTGTCCGGACTACTCTTCATAAACTACTGGTGCAATTTCATCCAAACTTTACAGGAATGATCAGTTCCAAGTCTAGTTGTGCATATTGTCAGCATTTTCCGGTTCAATGATTTTTATGCTCCCCGAAAAAATTTCGGGGGAGCATATAGTCGCCGCCTTGTCCGTCCGTCCGTCTGTCTTTCCGTCCGTCTGTCCATCCGTCCGTCCGTCCGTCCCCTTTTCTTGTCCGGGACATAACTTTGAAACAACAAGAGGTATCAACATGAAACTTTGTATGTAGATAGATCTCATTGAGTAGGTGTGCAGTGCACAAGAACCGTAACTCTGCCTTGCCTAATTTTTGAATTATTCCCCTTTGTTTATTTTACACTTTGAACTTTGTCCGGGACATAACTCTAAAAGTATAAGAGGTATCAACATGAAACTTTGTAGGTAAATAGATCTCATTGAGTAGGTGTGCAGTGCACAAGAATCGTAACTCTGCCTTGCCTAATTTTTGAATTACCCCCCTTTGTTTATTTTACACTTTGAACATTGTCCGGGACATAACTCTAAAAGTATAAGAGGTATCAACATGAAACTTTGTAGGTAGATAGATCTCATTGAGTAGGTGTGCAGTGCACAAGAACCGTAACTCTGCCTTGCCTAATTTGTGAATTATCCCCCTTTGTTTATTTTACACTTTGAACTTTGTCCGGGACATAACTCTAAAAGTATAAGAGGTATCAACATGAAACTTTGTAGTTAGATAGATCTCATTGAGTAGGTAGGCAGTGCACAATAACCGTAACTCTGCCTTGCCTAATTTTTGAATTATTCCCCTTTGTTTATTTTACACTTTGAACTTTGTCCGGGACATAACTCTAAAAGTATAAGAGGTATCAACATGAAACTTTGTAGGTAGATAGATCTCATTGAGTGGGTGTGCAGTGCACAAGAACCGTAACTCTGCCTTGCCTAATTTTTGAATTATCCCCCTTTGTTTATTTTACACTTTGAAATTTGTCCTGGACATAACTCTAAAAGTATAAGAGGTATCTACATGAAACTTTGTAGGTAGATAGATCTCATTGAGTAGGTGTGCAGTGCACAAGAACCGTAACTCTGCCTTGCCTAATTTTTGAATTATTCCCCTTTGTTTATTTTACACTTTGAACTTTGTCCGGGACATAACTCTAAAAGTATAAGAGGTATCAACATGAAACTTTGTAGGTAGATAGATCTCATTGAGTAGGTGTGCAGTGAACAAGAACCTTAACTCTGCCTTGCCTAATTTGTGAATTATCCCCCTTTGTTTATTTTTACACTTTGAACTATGTCCGGGACATAACTCTTAATGTATAAGAGGTATCAACATGAAACTTTGTAGGTAGATAGATCTCATTGAGTAAGTTTGCAGTGCACAAGAACTGTTACACTGTCTTGCCTACTTTTGGAGTTATTGCCCTTTGTTCATTTTGACACTTTGAACTTTGTCTGGGACATTACTCTAAAATTATAAGAGATATCAACATGAAACTTTGTAGATAGATAGGTCTCATTGGGTGGAAGTGCAGTGCTTAAGAATCATTACTCTGCCTTGCCTTATTTTGAAGAAATTGCCCTTTGTTTATTTTTACTTTTTGACTTTTGTCCTGGACATTACTTTAAAACTATTAGAGATATCAACATGAAACTTTGTAGGTAGCTAGATATAATTGGATAGAACTGCAATGCTTAAAGAACCTAAACGAAGCTTGGTCTAATTTTGGAGTTATTGCCCTTTGTTCATTTTTACACTTTGACTTTTACCAAGGACATAACTCTGATATCATCAGGAAACTTTATAGATGGATAGATCTCATTGAATAGAAGTGCAGTGCAAAAAAACATAACTCCGCTTTGCCTAATTTTGGTACTTTCCTGTGTCCAGAACCTTCTCGGGGAGCATCACCCTGTTCAACCGGTTCTTGTTGTAAGAGTTATGGCCCTTTAATAATTTTTAGCTCGACTATTCGATAAGAATAAGTAGAGCTATTGCAGTCACCCGAGCGTCGGCGTCGGCGTAACCACTTATGTTAAAGTTTTTGTAATAGTTCAAATATTTTCAAAGTCCATTGACATATGGCTTTGAAACTTTGCACACTTGTTCACCATCATGACCCCAACCTGTAGACAGGAGAAGGTAACTCTATCAAGCATTTTGACAGAATTATGCCCCTTTTTCGACTTAGAATTTACGTTAAAGTTTTTGTAATAGTTCAAATATTTTCAAAGTCCATAGACATATGGCTTTGAAACTTTGCACACTTGTTCACCATCATGACCCCAACCTGTAGACAGGAGGAGGTAACTCTATCAAGCATTTTGACAGAATTATGCCCCTTTTTCGACTTAGAATTTACGTTAAAGTTTTTGTAATAGTTCAAATATTTTCAAAGTCCATTGACATATGGCTTTGAAACTTTGCACACTTGTTCAACATCATGACCCCAACCTGTAAACAGGAGGAGGTAACTCTATCAAGCATTTTGACAGAATTATGCCCCTTTTTCGACTTAGAATTTACGTTAAAGTTTTTGTAATAGTTCAAATATTTTCAAAGTCCATTGACATATGGCTTTGATACTTTGCACACTTGTTCAACATCATGACCCCAACCTGTAAACAGGAGGAGGGTAACTCTATCAAGCATTTTGACAGAATTTATGCCCCTTTTTCGACCTAGAATTTACGTTAAAGTTTTTGTAATAGTTCAAATATTTTCAAAGTCCATTGACATATGGCTTTGAAACTTTGCACACTTGTTCAATATCATGACCCCAACCTGTAAACAGGAGGAGGTAACTCTATCAAGCATTTTGACAGAATTATGCCCCTTTTTCGACTTAGAATTTACGTTAAAGTTTTTTTGTAATAGTTCAAATATTTTCAAAGTCCCTTGACATATGGCTTTGAAACTTTGCACACTTGTTCACCATCATGACCCCAACCTGTAAACAGGAGGAGGTAACTCTATCAAGCATTTTGACAGAATTATGCCCCTTTTTCGACTTAGAATTTACGTTAAAGTTTTTGTAATAGTTCAAGTATTTTCAAAGTCCATTGACATATGGCTTTGAAACTTTGCACACTTGTTCAACATCATGACCCCAACCTGTAAACAGGAGGAGGTAACTCTATCAAGCATTTTGACAGAATTATGCCCCTTTTTCGACTTAGAATTTACGTTAAAGTTTTTGTAATAGTTCAAATATTTTCAAAGTCCATTGACATATGGCTTTGATACTTTGCACACTTGTTCAACATCATGACCCCAACCTGTAAACAGGAGGAGGTAACTCTATCAAGCATTTTGACAGAATTATGCCCCTTTTTCGACCTAGAATTTACGTTAAAGTTTTTGTAATAGTTCAAATATTTTCAAAGTCCATTGACATATGGCTTTGAAACTTTGCACACTTGTTCAATATCATGACCCCAACCTGTAAACAGGAGGAGGTAACTCTATCAAGCATTTTGACAGAATTATGCCCCTTTTTCGACTTAGAATTTACGTTAAAGTTTTTTTGTAATAGTTCAAATATTTTCAAAGTCCCTTGACATATGGCTTTGAAACTTTGCACACTTGTTCACCATCATGACCCCAACCTGTAAACAGGAGGAGGTAACTCTATCAAGCATTTTGACAGAATTATGCCCCTTTTTCGACTTAGAATTTACGTTAAAGTTTTTGTAATAGTTCAAGTATTTTCTAAGTCCATTGACATATGGCTTTGAAACTTTGCACACTTGTTCAACATCATGACCCCAACCTGTAAACAGGAGGAGGTAACTCTATCAAGCATTTTGACAGAATTATGCCCCTTTTTCGACTTAGAATTTACGTTAAAGTTTTTGTAATAGTTCAAATATTTTCAAAGTCCATTGACATATGGCTTTGAAACTTTGCACACTTGTTCACCATCATGACCCCAACCTGTAAACAGGAGGAGGTAACTGTATCAAGCATTTTTTTTACTATCAAGCACTAAGAATAGTTGAGCGTTGCTGTCCTACTGACAGCTCTTGTTATTTTTAAAGTTTGTCCGGACTTCTTCTCTTATACCACTAATGCAATTTCAATGAAACTTCACAGGATTGATCTGTAGCTCAAGTCCTTGCCCATATTGCACAGGTTTTCTGGTTGAATGATTTTTGACCAAGTTATGGCCCTTTGATAAAAAGGTGTTTTTTTCTGTGTGTTGCCAGATACACAAAAGCTTGTCCGGACTACTCCTCATAAACTACTGGTGCAATTTTATCCAAACTTTACAGGAATGATCAGTACCAAGTCTAGTTGTGCACTGTCTGTCTGTCCATCTGTCACAAAACTTGTCCCCACTTCTCCTCATAAACTACTGGGGCAATTTCATCCTTACTTTACAGGAATTTATGTCGCCACTACTCTGATCACTTCTCCGTCTGTCACAAAACTTGTCCCAACATGAAATTGGCCATCATGATGCGACACATGTGATCACTGATTGCTCTTGTTTAAAAGAATAGATAGTTTTGTTAAATGATATAGGCTTCATCAGCTACAGAATTCTGTAACAACTGCCAAAACACTCATGCCATGGAATGGAATTTGAGTGGAGGAACATCTCTTAAGTTATCTGCCCCTGGTACTGAATAGTGTTTCTGAATATTGCGAAATTGAACAGACGCGTTTGTCGTGATCCCTCTGTTGAGATGCAAACACTATAACCCCTGGGTTACTGCTCCACAGAGATTGGGATGTGTCACAAAAACATGCAGTTTCATTTTACAGTCAAACCTGTGATAAGACCATCTTCAATTAAAGATCCTCCTGTAAATAAAGCCAAACTTCAACAATTCTTCATAGATTAAATTTAGCAAAGTAACCTCCAAATAAAGACCACTTGTCTATAAATGCTATCTATGCCTGGTCTCTCCTTTAGATGGATTTTGTTCACAGAGTCCTGTAGTGGTTTAAACTATTTACCTTGATTTAAGTTTGACATTCAGTGTTGTGTTCATAGTTCATTTGCGAAACTAAAAATGAACTTTTTTTTTTTAATTGTTGGGATTCTTCTCATAACTTTTATTTTATTATTTTCAGGGTTCCAGCACTATATTTCCCATAGTTCCTATAGGGTTAGTGATGGCTTTACAAGTGATAATAGCAACTAAAACATCTATATATACTGACCAGCCATGTTTATATCTAGTCAGTTTTGGATTTGTTTCATCCAAAATAACAAACAGTTTAGTGGTAAGTATATTTGTTTCTCTAAGTATGGACTGGAACACTGTCAAAAATTATATGTATAAATTACTTATGAGATTTTTTTTCTATGATTGTTGTGTTATTAGGAGATTTTTTTTCTAAGATTGTTGTGTTATTATCTGAATGATATACGAGTGTATTTAGTATATTCTGATGAACAGGCAAAACTTTGTTTTAAAATGGTCTAAGACTGGATTTGGTTTATACAGAATTTATTTTAGTTTTATTTGATGGAAGCTGTATGCTTATAGACACACTCTTGAATTTGTTCAAGAACTAGTAACTGGTACTAAGCAAAGAGTGTAAAGTTTCTTGCTCAAGGAAACAACAACTTGCCCCTAATGGGGTTTTAGCCTATACAGCTAGCAATCATTAGATTACTAGTCCAACAAGTTAACCACTCGGCCATGCAGCCCCTGGATTTAAAGCATCTTAGTTACTTATGACATGACAAAAACGGCATTGATTGTGAAATAGTAGTAAAATGTAAACAAAGTGGTATTTTGTCTTTCATACAAAAAGTACTTAATAAATATAACATTACTAATGGCCACAGAGCTTTATAGCCAATGAGTGACCATTTGCAAACTGTATCAGAACCATTTGCAAACTGTATCAGAACATATAAAGATTTTGAAATTTTCATAGAAAAAAAAATTTTCAGCCTGAGTAATCCTGTAGCTTTATTGTGACAAAATGTCGAAGCTAATTTCTAAACTAGTCTATAGTCTGTTTCCAGGAAGTCATATGTAGAAACATGGTCTTGAGGTTATAAAACTTTTTCCTGAGTTCAGTCTCCAATCTGAGGATTTTCATTGGTCAATGAGCAGTTTGTGACAGTTTCTGACCAGTCAAATGCTATAGAGAATTTCTTTATAACCTCAGACCCTTGTCAAATTCTTGATTTAGCCAGACTACCTAGTTCCCTTTTATATATGTGTAATTTTCATTATCCATCCTATATAGATCGATTTGATCAGCTATAGCTGTTGTTCTGATTGTACCACTCTTTAACTAATCAGAATTATATATTGTTATACTGTAGTTAATGTCTTTATTTTCCATGTTATAGGTAGCCCACATGACAAAAAGTGAAATGCCATTATTAGACTGGAGTTTACTCGGCCCTATGATGTTGTTTATGAACCAGTACTTTAATTCAAAGTTTCCAGAATATTTCCTGCTTTGGATAGTGTGTGTAAGTAGTAGTAGTTTGCAAATTAAAACATTCCTTTTTTTGCCACCTGTCTAATTGTATACTTCATTGTATGAAGACATGTATTTTAGAGCCTCCAGCCAACCACTTTCTCTTCGTTTTTGTTGCTTGGAATCCTGCTGTCACTTTATAATACCCTTTGTGAGATGCTATATTGGAACCATCATAGTCTTATGTATTTATTCTGAAAATAAAGAAAAGTGAAGGTTCATACACAGAAAATATTATAATCTTATAGTATCAGCTTATCAACTCAATCATGTTGAACATCATACTGTAAAATGTTTGATAAAGATTTATAAAAAACTGTCAACAAACAATAGAATATAGGGAACATGACCATATATTAATACAATTGTACAATATGTTGTTACTAATGTACTTACAGATATACAGTGTACAGAACTGGATAATGTACAGTTTGAGGGTGTGTCAGGAAATCTGTGATCATCTCAATATCTACTGCTTCGATATAGTGAGTGCGCCAAAGACTGAGCGGAAAAATTCAGACAGCCGAAAAATACGATAAACTGGTCACAATAGAAACAATGCAACATTTTTCAGCAAAACTTTATTTGTTAACAATGACGTTGTAAAACTGTGTGATAAAGAATAGAGTGGGTTTTATTTTCTGCGATCTCACTCCCTATGTTTTTGGCCTGGTATTTTATAATTCCATCGTTTATTAATTGCCCTCTGTACCACCATTGTTACCTAACGTTTAGTGAATGTCTTACTACAACCATTATGAGTTTTTTTTTGTTGTTTTTTTTGGCGCTATGTACTTTCAGTGTTAACTACGGTCCAGTACATTTTATACCTCCAGTGTTTTAATTTATTTTTGTCCATTTGAGTTTTGACAAAGGACTGTTTTAGAATGTTAATTATACATATTATTGTCAGAAATAAAACTATGGGAATATATCTTAAATTTCAATCCAAGTTATCATAGTTTGTGATGAATCCACAGGCAATAAGTATTAATCTTTGCTACAAAACATACAGACAAGACTGGCGAGTAGGGATTGTTAACAGCTGAACAAATGAAATTTGATTTTGACATCAGTGACATTGGTAAATTACAGATGAGTTGACAGGTGTATCAGTAATCTTAAATAATCATTACACTTTAATTCATTATTTTTCATTGTTAAGTTGAACTGCTTCTTGATGAATAAGGCTTTAAGTGAGAGAGCATTTAATTTGAATCTTATTGTGCATCTACAATATTACCTGTAGGATATCCAGAGTTATTTGCCCTTGTGTGACACTCAGTGACAGTTCTATTTATAAGATATACAGAGTTGTTTGCCCTTCTGAGAGACTAAGTAACAGTTCTATTTATAGGATATACAGAGTTGTTTGCCCTTGTTTGACAATCTAAGTTACAGTTCTATTTATAGGATATCCAGAGTTATTTGCCCTTGTGTGAAACTCAAACTAACAGTTCTATCACATGACCTTATAGCATCTTTTTGTCATGTATATCACTTCAAATAATCACATCTTTCAGACTTTTAGGGATGAGATGAAAATTGAGTTAATTATAACACATTATGTCAAACTTGTGAGAAATCCTGTGGAACAAGGAGGGTAGGCTTTGTGTAATTTAAACCACTTGATGTTAAGGTCAGAAACATAATAATACTCAGTCGATCAAGAAATCAGTGTTACCCTATGATGTTTAATTAAATTCTTGTGATGACATCAACAGATCTGCAGGTGCTCTCTATCTACACATAATGCTCTTCCTTATAAAATAAACTAGCTATATATATGTAAGTAATTAATTAATGTTGGAACACAGCATTCCTTAATTCCTAGCTACGTGTGTAAGATATTAATTAGTGCTGGGACACAACTGGCTTCTTGCACATGATGTGAATTAATTAAACTTGTGTGATATAAATAGATACTGGTAAATGAGCAGAATTTAGAGAGAAATCAATTCTTCCAGGTACTAGACTAGAATTATGAATGAATTTTACATCAACTTTGTGTGACAGAATATCATTGAAATTGTAAATAAATTGTAAAAAAATGGCATCTTTCATAAAGTAGAGCCTAGATTTTTGTTTATATGCCCAGACTCCCATTTTGTGCTAAATTTTATATTATATATCATTCATATGTATGTAAGTTTTAATTTATTAATTTGTATGTTTTTGAGTTTTCCAACATTATGTTATTCAATCATATACATTAAGTGTTTTTCCTTCACATACAGTTCACATTACAGTATACTTAACTACTGGGCTGCTTTTCATAGAAGTTTCTAAGTGTAAGTCCTAGCACATAAAACGAACTTTAGGACTTAAGACTGTTCAGTAATCATTTTAATCTTCAGTCTAATACTGTGGAATGTAAATAAATTCATTTTCATGAGAAAAGTTAAGAAATACAATGACATACCCTTTTATGGCATTGTGTAAATTCCCAAATTGAGTGATAACATAGGAGTCATAAGTTAGGACATTTTTTCTTTGAAACACAAAATTCTCTCAATTTTGGTGTTAAGACTGATTTCAGACTTTGGGCCTTCCATGAAACGCAGCTCTGGCTAAAAATTGCATAAAATCCATTTTCAAGAATGCACCTGTTATTATTACTGTATGTTTTGTATACTGATAAAAATAAAGTCATTTAACTTACCATTAACATTGAGTAATAAAACTGTTATATTTTGATCGCCTTTTGTCACTATCTTATCATCATTAGCTGTTAAAATTTAGTCTGCTGATACGGAACATTAGTCAAGTTTCTATAAAAAATCATTCACACATATGAAATACTTAGAAGAGTGATTTTAAATTGATAAATACAGTTTGTAAACAAACTTATTTTCAACATGTTTTAATTTTAATGATGTTGAATGGGATTTTCCACACATTTTATCATAGAACATAAAATTTCCTGCTTGTTGTAATCTTTTTTCTTTTTGTAATGTTAAACTTCAAGATATTTTGAATTATGGCCAGTTTTTAAGGTTCTTTTATGAATAATAAGGCATTTTGTAGATACATGTACCTATATATAAAAATTAGAAATAAATATTTTAGCTGCTTTTTGTATCACAAAACGAAATGTCTCAAGTTTTTCAAATGTGCTTAATGTTTAAAGATGTATTAAATAAATTTTGTTAGGCAAATAAACAAATTTATGACGGCAGTGGGTTGAACATTTTAATGTACATGTACCTCTGTAAACCAAAATGGCAAAACTTCTTTTCCTGAGATGTGCTTTAAAACGGTTTTTCATAGAATTGTAGTTTTATAACAAAGGCAAAATGTGATAAGCCCTAGTCGTCGACCATAATAGATGTGAAATAGTGTTTCGTCATCAGATATATGGTTTGAAGACGTCCGTTAGAAGATTTCAAGATGTACATTTTTATTTTATTTTAAGTGACTGTAGAGTATGCTATGTCTTTAAATCGATACATGTACATATATTATTGTTTGAAGAATGTGTTATGTAAACAGATTTTATATACTATATATTCTGCTTATATTAAGCTTATAGGCCATGTGCTTTTTCCCACAAATTTTATCTTTGTACATGTAATTCCATTTTGTTTTACGCTTTATTTTTCTCGCTGCGTATCTGTTGACATACAATATAACCCATAACCTGCTGAATTTCTAAAATGGACATGTCCGTCTTTTATCTTCGGAACAGTCCATAATAAATTTGGGGAAATCAAAATAAATTTTTATTTTGTTTTCCAACAGTATAGAGCCTGGTCAGACTGCACAAATATACAGGCTGGCCTGGCTCTATACTGGTGGCAAAGGATTTTATCACTTTTAGTTCCAGCAGGTTAACGGATAAGTAACTTCTGACGTTATACATTTTCTTTTAAATTTTTGTTTTTAATGCAAATACGTTATTGATGATGAAATACACTTTATTACTATTTTTGCATTGCTTTTTATGTGAGAATTTTTAAATTTAGTTTTGTCACTTATTATACTTTTATGTTTTATTATTGAAGTTTGCTACCGGGTACTTTTAATCAATACACTAGTAATTTAAATGACTGAGCCTGCTGTAGGCACCAGATTCTACCCATAAGATAAGTGCCATTTTATAGGTATCACAGTAAAAGTTGGAAACTTTTGTCAGTCAGCTAGGTATAGAGCATGTGCTCAGGTTGCATTGATATGCATATTGGCCTGGCTCTATACTGGTGGCAAATATTTCACAGTTTTAGATTAAACATAGTATTCAGGGTTACAGGCAAGCAATGTATTTCCATTTCAATTCTAGTACTTCATATTTCATGTAGCGTATCATAAGACATATTCAGCATAACAGACCGGTGGTAAATTTTCACATTATGTAATATTTGTGTTTTATTCTGGTTTAATTTATTTCATGCTATAACTATTGCTCTATTACTTTACTGTGATTTTAGTTTTACTCTTTCTTGCTTTTATAACTACATGTATGTGCAAAATGTATTTGTCGATAGTCGCTGCTTCTTTCATATATGTTCAATATAGTTTCAATAACCTGGATAAAGAAAACTTAATTTGTAAAAAGTGTGCTTTTCTGGCGAAATTTTAGCTCCCATGTGAAGGTCTATGATAATAGCAGATTGCAAGTAATAAATTCTTTTGGCCATATAATCTAAATTTTATAATTACATTTTTTTTTTTTGATAAAAGAAATTAGAATATAATAACTGTTGCATATATGATTTGTATTCTCTTGAAAAATTAATTTTGGATGAAAATCAAGACAGTTCTGTCATGTATAAGAAATATGTAAAAGAAATATGTTTCTTAGGATTATCTACCCTTGCAACAGAAATAAATTATCAAGGAAAACAATTATTTTTTTGCAATTCTATGCTTCACTAGCTGATTTTGCTGATGTTACCTTTGTTTACCTTATATTTATAGAGATACTCTGGGATTCGGTCAATTTAGGGTCTTATTTCCCTATCTAATCCCAGGGTACAAGAAGAAGGGAGGGTTATTTTCTGTTTGCTGTATGGATAAGTACTAATATGTATACTAATATTTGAAATAAGCATGCTAGATATCCATATAACTCCTGGAAAATGCAAGTACATTTTAGTTGTCACATTATTTATGTTATGCATGTATGTTACATTTTATGATAGTTTTTGTAAAGCATTTCACCATGACTTAATATATTAACTCTCTGTCTTAATAGTGATAGGGGCCAGGAAATATTGTATAAAAAGCAGAAAAGGAAAAAGAAAAAAAGCAGTGTCAAAGGCTCTCAAAAAAAATTTATTTGGATAAAAAAAAACCATTGTAATTCTTAGATGTACAGGCTGTGTACATTTTTATGGAATATTTACTGACATTGATTCAAATGTTTTATAGAGGAAAATTTACAATGGCAAATTGAATTTTTGTTGGTCAGTTTGTTTATGTGTAATCAGTGCAAAAACTGTATTAAAGTATATTTGCCTCATATATATTAAGGATGATATTCGTGATATATCCAACAAGGGCATGCTGGATATCAGCAGATGATTGTTGTAATGTTTTTGCACCTTGGCCATAGCCCTGACCATTCTGAAACTGTTAAGTGATATGCCTTTGCCACCAGTTTAGAATCAGGTCAGCCTGCATACTCATGTGTGCTGTCTGGCTAGGTTTTATGCTATAGATGGTTAATTTTTTGTATCTTTATATTTAAAATCCCTTTAACTTCAAATGGACTGTTCCAAATTCAAAGCAAGTCAAATTCATTAAATGATTTCATTAGGTAAAAGGTTAGAGGAAATTTGATTTTAAGATAATGTTTTACCTCTATTTTAGTAATTTTATGATTTTATGACAGCCTTCTTTCATGTGAGGCTCATAATGAGGCCCCTTACACTTTTTAGACAGATAGTTTATACATGTAGCATAGTTGTATCAGCAGCATTGTCTACAAGGGTAATATTTTTGTGTCGCCTTGAAAAGGTGACATATAGGGGTTACTTTTGTCGGCGGCGGCGGCGTCTGTGTCGTTGTCGGCGTCGTCGTCCCCTAAAGCTTGTCCGGAGCATAACTCAGTCACTATAAGTCTGATTGACTTCAAACTTGGTATGCATGCTTCTTTCAATAACCCGAAGTTGCAGTGCACAAGGACCGGTGCAGATCTTATTTTTTGAGTTATTGCCCTTTGTTATTTTTATACTTTAATTTTGTCCGGGCCATTTCTCTTCAACTAAAAAAGCTTGGACTGAAACTTCATTGATTCAAAGAAGAAGTGTTTTATAGAGGAAAATTTACAATGGCAAATTGAATTTTTGTTGGTCAGTTTGTTTATGTGTAATCAGTGCAAAAACTGTATTAAAGTATATTTACATCATTATGTATATTGAGGATGATATATGTGATATATCCAACAACAAGGGCAGGCTGGATATCAGCAGGTGATTGTTGTAATGTTTTTGGAACCTTTTCCATAGCACTGACCATTCTGAAACTGTTAAGTGATATGCCTCTGCCACAAGTATAGAGCCAGGTCAGCCTGCATATCCATGTGCAGTCTGACCAGATTTTATTTGTTGCTTGTTGGTATTTCAGTTTTTGTACTTTGATACCAAAATCCCCTTTAAATAGACCGTTCCAAATTCAAAGCAGGGCAAATCCATTACAAGAAATTCAGTAGTTTAAAAGTAAGAGGAAAGTTGATTTTAAGGTAATATCTTACTCAATTTTGGTAAACTTATGGAAGCCTACATTGTGCAAAGCTCATAGTAAGGCCCCTTACACTATTTAGACAGATAGTTTATACATGTAGCATAGTTGTATCAGCAGCATTGTCTACAAGGGTAATATTTTTATCATTTATATTTTATAATAAATATGCAGATTGTCTCACATATAATAGCACAATTATATCTTGTTACTTAATATTTTCATCTTTGTTTCCATATTTTAGTGTGATATTGAGTATAATTTAAAACAGGGAAATATTATTGGGGGCTTACGTGTATGGTGCGGTGATATATCAATTATCATGTCGGGTTAAAATGTGAGTGTTGAGAGGAAAAAACAGTGTTACTATATATATATTCTATGACATACAGGAAAATTCGTGTTCTATAGAATTCTTTATAGAAGGTTTCATGCTCCATGGAATGTTTCATCTTCCATTTAAGGTTCTTAGAAGGTTTCATTCTTTTAATATTCCATGAAAGGTTTCTATAAGGTTTCATGCTCTGTGAAATGCTTCATCTTTCATTAAAGGTCATAAAATGGTTTCATGCTCCACAGAAGGTTTCATGCTCTGGAATGTTTCATCTTCCATTAAATGATTATTAAAAGGTTTCATGCTCCAAAGAAGATTTTATGCTCCATAGAAGGATTCATGCTTCATAAAAAGTTTCATGTTCCAGTGAAGGTTCTATGAACCAGATTTCAATTTGACCATTCCTTTTATTGTTAATTCCCAAAGTTTAAATTTTCTGAATGCTAGTTGGAATTCATACACAATAATTTTTTCACAGATATGCATGTTGTCATCTCAGGTTTGTTCTATTTGGAGCAGTTACCTAAATCATCAGACTGGCCTAATCTTTTATGTCAGTTCATATTCTACTTATAGTTTTGCCAGAACAAAAAGAGGATTTTTCATTCAGGGCTGAATTGAACAAATTAAAAAAATTACAACTAGGTACATTTAAACCTTTTAATGAGAGAGAAATGTGTTCGCCAATAGTTGGCATTTTATGGAGTTGAGACAAAAAATATTAATTCAACTTTCTTGAAATATTGCTATAATATCTTTGTGAGTACAAAAGGCAGTAATGCTGCTAGAATATAGTCGGACATCCTGCTCCTTTTAACTACCATATTTCGCCAAATACAAGCCGTTAGGGGGGCATGCAAAATGCCGACAGGGTGCTTAGTGTATTTTATAATAATATCCATTTGAAAATCTGTCTTGTCTAGGATGCCATTTTATTTATCGTGTTTTTATTTTTTCTTCTCGGTAGATCTATTATAAAAAAAAAGTAACGTTTTAAGAAAGTTTTGATGTTTTTATGTTTAAAGTT